TATCCTTTCCCTTTTAAATGCCAAAATACGATTTGATAAATAGTTAAGGTTGCAGAGTTATTGAGTTTTTAAGAGAAAGGTCTAAATTCAAAAATTTTCATAAAAAAATATTAAAAACGGCTGAACATAGGTATAGACTAATTCCATGCCAAAACGATCACTTTTAAAACTGTTGAAAAAAGTAATTTTTTTCATCCATTTTTAAAACGTCCGTCTTGAAACTTATGTAAAGACATAGTAAAAATATGAAAGTTTTTACATAAATTTTTTTGAGAATTTTTAAAACCTGCGTAATTGTTTATTTTTTCGTTTAAACAATATATTTTTAAATTATTTGTTAATAACAAATTTTTAGAATACATGTATTATCACGTCCGTAGTGTACCACCTACTTATTTCTATTATTAAAAAAAATCGTTTCAATATGTTGATTTGCTCTTTAGATAAAAATTCTTTTTGTTACGAGGTACTTAATTTTGTACATCCCTGTTTTTTCAACATACATTGAAAAAATATAAAACGGTGGAATACGTGTCACTTATTTTTACACGTTCTATAACATATCTTAAATTTACAAAAATCAGAAACAATGAGTTTTAAAAGTGATCGTTTTGGCATCGAATTACTCTAATGGGAAGATCGATGATAACTCTCCTAGAATAACTGGGGGAATCTAAAAACGCAATAAAAAACATAGCTTTCCATTTAAAATAACAAAGTTGATACCCACACACCGATATAACCGGAAAATATGCTGAAAATATTTTTATTGAGCAGGACCTAACTGATTAGGCATATTTATTAATTTATTCATATTAATTTTTAATTTTAGTATGTTTTTTACACTATTTTACAAGTTATTATTCTATTTTTTTTTTGAATAAATGTATAAAAATAATTATTGATTTTAACACTGCGATGGTGAATGTGGGAGGAGGCCGGTGCAGCCACGATGGAACACGGGTAGTTAAGGGCTCAGTACGCCACTATACACTATACCAATAATACACTTATTAAAAAATTGTTTATAATAATGAAAACTGATTTCTAATAGCGAGAAGGCGGATTAAAATGGGAGTAAAAAACGCAAACGGTGAATTTATGTATTAGTGGCTTACTATACTATGAAATGCTGGTACACTTATTGAGTTGTTCTTTAGGTGTCGGTTCATTCGTACGAGTAATTTTTTGCTTTCTTTTTTAATCCACACTATATTCCTATCATCGCGGACAAAAAAAAAGAAATGGTCAGTAGGATCATTCTGTTGATGATATTAAAAAAATGTAACTTCACTTTGAACTTGTCATTGCTTTCGTCAGTGAAGCTTCTGGCCTTTTGGCATTTAGAAAGTTTTGAAAAATCATGTAAAGCATACTTTACAGTGAATTTTTAAAAAGTGTCAAAACATAATATTCCATTTTTTTAATCTATTATGCTCATTAGAATTATTGTACTAGTTAATTAATAAATTATTAATAAGTTGAACACAGAATAGGAAGATGCAGTGACCATTAGATTTTTATCATACTCATTTTTCTGTGAACCTTTTAACAACGCAACATTTTTGTTACCAATTAGGTACCATAGTGACGGCCCCCCGATCCTTAAACCTCGCATACAAAAAGTCCCCGCTTACGACTACGTCGTCGAAATATCCGATCTTGACGCTCTAGACGACCTAATGGCGGATCCGGACGAAATGCGTATGCAAGCACTGGTAATGCGTGAACGTATCTTGGGCCCCGCTCATCCCGACACCAGTTACTACATCCGTTATCGCGGGGCTGTTTACGCTGATGCTGGCAAGTTCAACCGTTGCATCGAACTGTGGAACTACGCTCTCGACATGCAGCAATCAATGCTCGAGCGTTTGAACCCCATGACCCAAAGCAGCTTATTCTCCTTCACCGAATTATTTTCGTTTATAATGGGCGAAGAAGGCAAACACACGACGCGAGGCCGTCTCGTCCCGCCAGTCGACGTCGTGGAAATTCTCCGAGTTTTCAAAAAAGCAGTCGAAGAAGTAGAATTAGGTAGTCAAATGCTGGAAAAAATGCCCAATGTCGAGAGAGATATGACGTATCTGACTCGAGTTCTTGTTATCACCTTGCATTTGGCGTGTTTGCTGACGCGGATGCTCGAGCACCACGCCACGACTGAAGCCATCACGAAAGAGATCTACAAAGCCGTCTATGATTTAGTCAAGTTGAAAATCCGGGGACGGTCAGGGCGAACAGCCCTCCATTTGGCGTGTTGCAGAGACGCCGCGCTCTTGGGGCGCTATCCAGCGTGTCAGTTCCCATCGGCGCATTTGGCTGAGGTTTTGCTCAAAGTGGGGGCCGATCCTAACGTGAAAGACGACGATGGCAACACGCCGTTTCATTTAGCGGCGATGGCAAGACCCTGTCCTGCGAATATAGCACAGGTGCTTCTTAAACACGGCGCACATATTGATCTAGTGAACAATAACGGTGAGACTTTTGCTAGTTTGCTCAAAGGACAGCAAGTGCACGAGTTAGTGAACACGGCCAAATATACGGGATTGAGTTGTGCGGCCGCGAGAATTATCCAGCAGTTTAAAATACCTTATAAAGGAATCGTACCAGCAGCTTTAGAATCGTTTATTGCATGCCACTGAGTTTGTGATGTGTTTATTGTACAACCGTTTGGCAGCATCTACAATTTTTTTAATTTGGTTTGGAAGTGGCCCACGCTGTATTGCTACTTGTTGAATAAGTTTTTATTTGCAATTTTGGCGCGTCCATTCAAAAAGTAATAACAAAGGTATGTGCTAACCTCACTTTTATTTAAAATAAATTACAACAGTGGACGCTATTTAATGAATTCTAATGATTTACACCTCATATTAGGGTAATTAGAAATTTATTAAATAATACCAAAACAGCGTTCCACAAGTAATTTATTTATATTCGCGATTTAAACAATGGCAGCTACAATTTCATTTGCGGGAAATTCAAATTGTTTATCCGAGGTTCTTAATTGCGATAAAAACGAACATAATATGTGATAGTTCCGTTGCAAACAGATGCGAGTGTTCAATTATTGTTTTTACAAAAAAATACAATGAATTTTTAAATGGTTTATCAATGTTATCTGTTTGCATCCACACGCTTACTTTCAATGAAATATTAATTTAATTGTAATAAAACAGTTATAAGTGTGTGCAAACTTACTGAAAATTAGTTGTGGAACTTGTAGGCCATTAAATTTAGTAACATTAATGCTATAGGATATTTCATTGTTGATAGAAAATTACTGTCAAGAATTAAGAAATTGGTAAATGTAATGAAAATTCAGTTACTTTAAATAAATATGAATTGTAGGTAAGGTAAATGTTTGTATGTTACATACATGATTTAGATATTTTTGACTGTTGCGACAAGTGGAGCAAAAATATTTTAGTTATGTTATGTATTTTAAAAGTGTGATTTTTATGAGTGCTGACTTTACAATAATTATCTAGCTATATAAATTTTGTTAATTAAAAAAATAAAGCAATTTGTTTTCTTATAAAATAAAGCAATTTGTTTTCTTATAAAATAAAGCAATTTGTTTTTTTTTTTTTGAAATCCTAAGCAGAAAAATCATATATTGTTTAAAAATCTTACAACATACCGATACAATAAATAATAATTATCAAAAAAATACATTAAAGTCGTAAAAGACTTGGTCAAAATTCAGATCCGATAAAATACCCAGAAAAACTATTTTTACTGTAAAATATGTTAGCGACCCGAATCATACCCTGGGAAAAGAGTTTTTAGTATATTTCCTAAATTTTCATTGATATTCAAAACATATTTATCCCCTAATTCAAATCGACAACAGGGACAAACGTAAATCTGTGCGGTGAACGATCGTTTCAAGCAGCGCTGAAAATAACTTCTTAAAAAATTCAGTTTCCTTAAGAAAAAAAATTACCTTGCATACGTTGTGTTTACAGCTCATTGTAATCGGTTCAAAGACGATTTCTTGACAACATACACAAATAAAAAGTTCTTCGACTTTATTCAGAAACTTCAATTTACCCTCACGTAACACTTCTTTGCACTCCACCCACAATTTCTTGTTTTCATGATCATCTTTTATCATTTGTTCTATTTCGGGTGTTAATTTGTAGGGTTCAATTTTAGTTTTTTTCTCTTTTAAATTATTTGATGATTCTTGGTGTTTTCGTTTCTTTTTATTGTCTTGATCCTGCTTTAAAGCTTCAGCTTCTTGATATCCTGGAGGATACTTAAAATGAATCATTTAACAAATCTGATAATGTATTTGCAATAGTTACAATCATTTCAAACTCGCGCCCCCCTTGTACCCAGGGTGCCGGCACTGGATCATCCCTCCTCAACAAATACCTCCAAACAATAAACCCTGATTTACCCTTCTGTGGGTAATATTTGACCACTTTGTATATCCCATCATAACGATTTCCATCAAGTGGTGCATATTTTGAATGTTTTCGTAATTTATAATTTCTTACGACCCTTACAGGCTTGCCTTTCCGCCAATCTATCGCTTCTCCACCAGTCTTATCATTAAATTTGACATTACAATTAAGTGCCAAAGCCCTAAAACCTCCAAATTATTTCCTTTTCACCTCAAAACAAAAAAATACTTGTTCATTCTTGTCAACTTCTGGTCGCAACTCTGCCCATTGACCCTCTTATTCCCGGACAAATCTCTCCCCCCTGACCCCGTATAATAAAATTCCTCCCCGTTGTCAATATCATCTTCGTACCCACCACTCAAAACCAGACTGTAAGCCCCGTCATTTTCCCGGCCGTGAATCCCAGCAACGTGGGGCCGGTGAATCCCCGCTTCCGAAACTTGCACTCTGAATTTCCAACAAGTTCCCACTTCCACGCCCGGCACAGGCCCATAATGGTCCTTTGGGACGATGGTACATTCGCTGGTACGACCCACACAAGCCATTCCCTTGCCCCAATCGCGATTCGCCCCTTTGTAACTCGGCATTTTCATTTTCTTTTTGCTAGTTTTGAGTTTTTCACCGGCTTTGACGATTTCCGAGTCGTCGATTTTGCAATCGGGGCAATACCATTCCTCAGTTGGAACGGCTGATAAGGGGGGAATGAGGCATGACAAGTGGAAAGCATCGTCGCATTCATCACACAAGATTAAAATTCCGGCGTTTTCTTTTTTGGAACATATCTGACAACCACAGTCTTTGCAGTTTTTGGCAGAGTTGTCTTTGCATTTGGTGCAGTAAAGGGGAAGTTTCCCTGATACAAAATATCAATGGTTAATGAAAAAAAAAAGTTTGTACTTACTGAGTGGAATTTCTTTGGATTGTTTTTCTAATCTTTCGTTTAGTAATGTAGGGTTCTCAATCCGCAGCAATTCGTCTATAAATTTAATTGTGCAATTTTCAAGTCTTGCATGATCTGTGCCAACTAATAAAGTACCCTTAATACCCTTTTTTGTCATTGCTTTTATCTCAAAATCGTACCTAAAAATATTTAATACGTTGTATAATAAAAAATATTGCGTTTAATGCAGACCAGTATCCTCGAGTTGTTGGGTTTTCAATATTATAATTTGCCAAGACTGTTAATCCAGGCTTAATTTCAGATTCTTTATAGGTATAATATGCCCGTGGTCTAATATCACTAAATGTAACATCAAAAGCAGCAGTATTTCCATTTCTAAAAAAAATGTTGTCATAAATTATTAAGTACGTAACATTTTTAAATTACAAAAATAAACGTACAAACCTATCCATTTTTATCCTAAAAACTAAATCACTTTCGTCTGTACTTTGTTTTCCTTTTGGTCCAAAAATGTTCAAAATTTTTGCTTCAAACCAAGCACCATGGTCTGAATCAATGACATCAATCTTATCACCATTTTCATAATAACGACTTTTAGCTTCAATTTGCGATTCCGTTTTAATTTCTCTTGTATTGGGGCTTTTATTCTCTTTTCCCGTTTTTTGCTCAACTGAGTCTAGTTTAATCAACAACTGGATTACATCGTTTAATTTAATATCATAATCTGCTATTGTGTGGTCTTCTATCAGCTAAAAAATCGATTTAATTGCGTAATTTCTGTAAAAGAATCACAAACCTGTTTCCCCCTATAGTATAATTTTTGATGATCAATTTCTACGTTTAATTTAGTTTTAATCATAGCTTGAAGTTCCTTAATTGAAGCTGTCTTGGAGACAACCAGTATCAAATCGTTATCTTTTGAAGTTGAGGTCAATTTACGAATTCTTACGTGCATTTTAAATAAATTTAGTTCTTTTCAATCACTATTACGGCGTTTTTCATTCAAAATAACACTGAACGAGGTAAACTAGTGTTTGGAAGCGGGAAAAACTGTTCAGATGCTAATCAGCTGATTTTGTGACTTCTTATGGGGTATTTGAGTTTTTCAGTGCTAACCGTTAGAAGCCCGCGAAGTTTAAACAAATCTACTATAAAATATTTTGATTTGTTTTATTAAAAATCATCACAATCTTTTTCTTTATTGCCTAAATTACTACTTAATTTCTATTTTTTAAATATTTACATATTTTATACTTAAGTTATCTATAAAAAAAACTGGTCTTGAATTATGGTGTAACAATTAAAATACTGTTCTCAGGCACATTTCACACTTAAACAAATTAAAATACTGACACAATTGAGCCCTTTTAGACTTATTTACACAATTCCGAAGATAAATACTTAACAAATAAATATCTTATTTACAAATAGAGGCATTTTGTATTTTCTTCTCTGGCACATTCCCATTACTCGATATGGACACTATAGAGGAACTTCGTTTTGTTGTACTTTCATTTTGCAGCATTTGATTCGGTATTTCATAGCCGTCATTAGCAGGGGGTGTGTCTGGTTCATACAACAATTCCAGATACTTGGGAATTGCAGAAGTGGCTTCCGATGCCAGAAATGGTGTTTTTTCTTTATTAGCATCATCTTCAATGTCACCTAAACAAACGAAGATCTTTCAGATAAGAATTTAAAAAAAATGATTCAAGAAGAATTAACATGCAGTGAATTACCTGAAAAGTTCTCATCACGAAAATATGCCTCATTGGAAATACCTTGAATAAAATCTGTAAAGCATCATGGCATTCATTGATTAGCGGTCATGCAATGACGAGTTAACAGTTTGCGCATGCAAGGTTTGCACAAACAACTTACATTCTTGCACGGTGCTGATGTATTGCCCTTCGTGGGCCCCAGTCGTGGGGCTCCTCAAATTTTGCAAGTGGAGGTTGTCGAGGACATCTAAACAGTATTTAAAAGTGGGTCTCTTCTCAGCTTCAAATTCCCAACACTTTAACATTAAATTGTGTCTGAAATGAAATTTTTACATAAAAATTTATATTATTAGAGTATTTTCTTACAAAGCTTCTGGACAATCTGTGGGTTTTCCTAACCGGCCTCCTCTTCGTACGTAATGTAACACTTCGAGATTATTTCGGGCGGGGTATGGTTGTTGTCCCAAAGTCATTATTTCCCACAGAAGAACCCCAAAAGCCCAAACGTCGGATTGACTGGTGAAAACTCCATCGACCAGCGATTCGGGGGCCATCCAACGGACAGGAAGCAGGCCTTCGCCCTCTTTCCTGTAGTAGTCATTTTTGTAGATGTCTCGAGCTAGGCCAAAATCACCGATTTTGACAATGCGATCGGGGTCTTTCGACGAAACCAAACAGTTGCGGCAAGCCAAGTCCCTATGGACGAAATGCATTTCTTCGAGGTATCGACAACCTTTGGCAACATCCACGCACATTTTTAAGAGTTCGATCAAAGACAATGAAGGAGTATCAGTCTGTAAAAACAACATCAGTAAAAAACAATTACACTAGAAAGTAATACATTAGGGTTTCTCGAGGAACGCAAATAAGTCAACAAGTCGCCTCCTTGCATCAACTCCATGATAATAAAATGGGGGTCATTATCCAAGCAAACTCCCAAAAGCTGCAAAATGTGTTCGTGTTTGAAGTTACTCATAAGTTGCGCTTCTTGCAAAAACTCGGCTTTCTCTTGATCGGAGGCACATTTTCTCAAAGTCTTAACTGCCACTTTAGTATCCCCTGAACTATTAGGAATCCCTCTGGCTTTTCCTTCAAAAACTTCACCAAAAGCGCCACTCCCCAAAAACTTCATCAAAGTAATTTGATCCCTGAAATCGGAATTTTATTCCACAACTTTAATCAAAAAATATCAAGTACCTCCGAATGTGTGGCAAAAGGATCATTTCTTCACTTGTGGGTTGGGTAGACACGTACAAAACATTAGTGTTGTGTACACCTCTCCGGGGGAGTTCCCTCAGTGTTGCTAACTCGACGTCAGGTCCCCGGGGTATTGACACGACTTGGACTTTTTTCGGCTTTCCATATTTTCCTGATTGTTTAATTTATGAAAAAGCAACTCGAATTTTTTATACTTACGACACACAAGACACAGCAAGATGATCAAAAAGACTGAAACTGGGATAAAGGTTGCAATAGCAATCAGAGTCATCGGACTTTGCTTTTCGGCCATTCTGGCAGCTTCGTTCAAGTCAAAAGCCGTGCTAGAATCACTCGGGTCGCTCCATCCATACGCATTTAAAGCCGAAACTCTAAATTCGTACTTGTATTTTTCGCTTAAGCCGTTGATTATCCAAGAAGTTTCAGTCCCGTTATAGAACTGTTGCCATTCCCTCTCTTCTTCTTCGATTGAAGGTGCTGTGTAGAAGAAAGCAGTACGATTGGTACTTCTTTTCGTACGATAATTCGGAAGTTCCAAACCTTCGAGTTTGTACAATTCGATCGGTGCTCCGTTATCTTTGGCTTCCTCCCACCAAACTTTGTAGATGTTTGGTTTGACGTATTGGATTTTGGGGGTTCCTGGAGGGGAGGGTTTGTCTCCAAGGGTTTCGTAAATAAAACGAGAATCTTGTGGCCAAACATATTCTTCAGGATAATTGTAATAAAAGAGAGACAACCGGAATTTGTACTCAGTCTTTGGTTTCAAGTTTTCTTCACTTGCGAAAATGCCATCACTAACTTGGGTCATATTTTTCCACTCGTTGGAAGTGACAGGAGAAAATTGGACGTTATAGTGATCAATATTTGCACACACTTCCCATGTCACAACCAACATGTACGCAGTTCGGTTTACTAGAATTAAATCACTGGGTTCTGGATACGTATTTATTTGCACTTTTTCACTGTCACTGGAAGTTTCATTTGTCTCACTATAGGCTTTAACCCAAATCGTGTATGTCTCATTAGAGGAAAGTTTGTTGAGAATAATTGTAAGAAAGTGAGTCGAGTTTGGAGTAAATTGTTGTTCAACATTTGATTGTTCTTTTTGCCGGACCCCAGAAAGGGTTCTTTCAGTCTGACAGTAGATTTCGTAGTGGACTGTTACCCCATTAAGGTATTGGGGTGGTGACCATGAGACTTGAGCCATTGTAGGATTGAGGACTTTAACTGTGACATTTTGTGGAGGTGAAGGTGCTAAAAAATAAATTATAGGCCCCAAAACTTATCAGTTTTTGACTTACCTCCTATTGCAGTTTGAAACACTGTAGAAGCTCCAAGAACGACTTCATCATCCTTAGTGTAGTAGTTACTAACAGTGACTGCAACCACATAGTGTGTAAAAGGTTTCAAATTTTTGATTCTAAATTCTTTATCAAAAGTTGAGGAAAAATTACAAGTGAAGTCACATGAAGTATTGTCGTCGACCTTTTCCGTATAATAAATTCGGTACTCAATCGTAGGCATCGAAGTGTCAACACAGATTTGACCAACTTCTGGCATAAGCAAAGTCAAAGAAGTTGAGGTTTTTTCTTTTAGAGTCACTCTAATGTCAGCGTATTGTTGTGGTCTAAGACACTCGGCGGGGGGGAAGGGTTGCATATGTGGCCCAAAAATGAGTATATCGTGCCCATTTACTTCCTTTGTGACTAAATTAGCTTCTTTCTTCCTTAATGCGTGAAGCAAGCGGGAATTTGTCCAGTACAAAGTACCAAAATCTGATTTTAGCCGATCAAGAGGAAGGGTTACACCGAGTGAATTATTTGCAATGACACTACACGAACAACCATTTTTGTCAGCAGAAACAACATTATGTGTGTCAGAATCTATAAAAACTAACAATGGTTTAGTTTCGGTCGAGTGATCCAAAGTATATGTTTTCTCTATATTGACATCAACTGGACAATTGCAACTTTCATCAAGTATAGACCGTTTGGTGTACTTGTCTTTATTAAAAAACTCTCTTCTATCACTACCATCAGTGTTGCAAACCATCAGTTTGGATTTTTCCACCCAGTAGAGCATTTTCGTATAAGGAGATACCTCAATTTTACTGATACTTGCAGGAGTGAAAAAAATTTTGCTCATTTTAATAATCCCACGATCGACGTAGTTTAAATTGAGTTTAAAGACACTCGAACCGGAATCCCAGTTCTCACTCTGGGCGTAATAAATACTTCGCTCCAACCAATCAACAGTCAAACCAGTGACATTATTTTTCAGACTAGTAATTTTTGTTTTATTTGATTTTAGCATATCAAACATCATGAGATTTTGCAACTGGTCGATCCAAAACAATTTTGATTCCTTAATCAAATAGCCAATTTCGGTCGGCGTGACAATTCCATGTAAAAGTGATTCGTTGCAGTCCGAATCAATATCTTGGATAAAAATCGAATCTTCTGAAGCCACCAAGAGACGTGGTAGAGGCAATTCTTCACTAGAGTTTACCTGGATTGGGTCAGATAAGTCACCATCGCCCATCTCACTGAAAGCTTGAACGTTGAAATAGTAGATTTGGTCTTGTGGTGGTTTGAAATCAATTTGAAATTCTTCTGGTTTTTTAACCAAGTCTTGACAAACATCTCTTCGTTGAGAGTGATCTAAATACCAACAGTGTATTTTGTAACCTTTGAGAACTCCATTTGGGAACATAGGAGCGTCCCAGCGAACTGTTATAGTGACATTGGTACCACTGTTGTGATGGGTTACATATGCACGGAGATTTCTCGGAACTGTAGGAGTCGAAGCAGGAGAATATACCTTAGCACGGATTTGTGGTGAGGTACCCCAATATGTGAAGGCCCGGATTGCGACTTGGAGTTTCGTAAAAGGGGCCACTTGTTGCCAATATTTGACCGAAGTTAAATTTGTAATGATCTAAACCATGTTGAAATTAGATTTTTTTAACAAAATTTCGACTACTTACTGCAGAATCGTTTCGTGAAAGACTGTCAATGCTGACCTCGTAAAAGACCTGCCCATAGTTGACATTCTTGACTGGATTCCAAGTCACATTGAACGAATTTAAAGAACCGACAATTCGCACAGAATTTTTATCAACCGTTTCTGGGATTACGACAATTTGGGGAATATCTACAAAATTTAATTATTTTGGTACTTTGATTCTTGGCATTTACCTGGCATAACATGCAAGGATGAATCAACGACGTAAACTAGAGTTAAGTCAGACATACTTTTGCCACTGAATGTGGCAATATTTTTCCCTTGGAGGTCACTAATTGCCGCATTTTTGTTATCCTGGAGCCACAAGAGACGTTTATGGAAGTAACAGAGTGGTCCTTGCATATTGGGTTTTTGCAAACTTGAAATTTTTTCAACTGTGATTTTTTGTGTATAGCCAGCCATTGGGGCCCGGAATAAATTCGATCCTTCTAAACCTCGGACGATCCAATAGACGAACTTGTTGTGGATGTCAAGAGTTAAGCCCATTACTGTGTAAAAAAATGTAGAAGAAATCATTTGTGGTATTAAGTAGTACCTTGTCTTCCTGAAAATAATTGTACTGGATGGTACTCAATCGAGTTCTCTCCGTTAAGGTGAGCACAGCGAACTGCAAATCCTGTGGACCAATACAAATAAGCCTTAATTGAATCTATGTTCAATTCTTTGGCAAGTGTGAGGATGGGAAGTGGTTCTTGTTGGGTACCATTCAAATTTCCTCTGATAATCTATAACTGTTTATTGAAAATCGTGTCAAAATCGAATCGGACATTACCATTTGTCGTTTGGGGTTCGACCAGTAGAGTTTTTTCCCGATCCAGTCAACGGCAATGCTACCAACTGAATCTATACCAATTAACTGTCCTTGACTATGAGTCCTGGTATTATACCAATAGACATGGGAGTCATTCGTGACCAAATAAATCAAGTCTTGGTACCACGTCATATCGATAAAAAACGAGTTTTTGGTGCTACTTTTGTGAATTAGCGTTTCAACATTTTCACCCGCTGCGTCAGTCCTGAGCAAGCCTTCAGCAGCCGACCAATAAATCATCGGATTTTTCGATCGACTCAAGGTGAATCCGCGGAATTCGGACGACCAGGGCCCTTTTCCCGACTTGGTGTAAGCCGCAGCTTTGATAACATACTCCGTGTTTTCCCTCAAACCTGATATTTTGTAAGACGTGGTATTGATATTTTTATGCGAGATGAATTTTTGTGAACCAACTTCTTTTATTTCGATTTCATACAACCAGTTCTGCCACGCACCCTTGCCTTGAATACCCAAAAGATGAGGAGGCTGCCATGTTGTTTTCGCTATGTTACTTCCAAAGATTGCTTGGACATTAGTTGGGGGGTTTACAGGACTAGGAATAGGTTGCGAACTTTGCAAATTGATTATAACTTTTTTGTATGATTTGGTGGACAAAGATAAGTCAGGATATGAGTTGTGGAAGTAGACGGAATTGTGGTACTCTTCATAAAAAATGTCGTCTCCGTTTGTCCAATAGAATTTTTTATTGGCAGTGGCTAAAGACACAACATTTTCTAGTTTCGATTTGATTACGTTTGGTCGCACGTTGACTATTTCTTTCCTAAAGTTGGGATTTTTTGGGGGTAATACACAGATTGGGTTACTTACCCATCCAAGGAGACAGTATTGATGGTTTTTTCGCGTTCATTTGAAACAAAAAGTCGAAAATTCGTATGATCCACAGTGAAAGCACTCATATTTAATTTCTTTTCGTTGAGGATAAGTACAGGTTGTACATCATGTTTTATTCCGTTACTAATATCGTAAAGGTCCAATCGATAAAGACCGGTACCATTAATGCCCAGAAAAAGGTACCTACAAGAAAAATCAAACCTCTGAATTTTTATTTTATTGACTCACCCATTGTATGGATCTACTTCAATGTTGTATGGTTGTGTTGTCAATCCTGCTACTGCTGTGGTAAGCCTTCCACCATCCAAATCACATCTTGCAATCAACCACTTTGTTGGGTTAACATTTTTAGTTTCACCCAAAATATACAATTGATCGTTTAACCAATCAATGGATAGGTCTAAAGGCATGAAGTTTGTCTGGTTGATACGAAAATGCGGCAAATTATATGTTTTATAATTCGTATTATTTCTAGATAACGGCATTTTGATAATATTTCCATCAGAATCTGATATAAAAATGAGCTTTTTGCTTATGTGTATTCCGATTCCTTTTATAGTTAATTTGGTACTGTATAATATGGCAGGTTCGTCAAGGATATCAGTTCCCTCCTCTACGACTCCATGTTCAGTTCCAAGAATTAAAACTGGTTGTTGTGTATCTTTTACTGTAAAATTTGATCAGTGAGATTGAGTTTCTTTCGATTTATTTAATTACCTAAAGATTCGGATGGTGTTGAAACTGTGACTTTAGCAGAAGGACCTGAACCGACTCCATTTCGCATTTTGATTGAAATTGTGTAATTACGAGCTGGACGTAAATTTCTAAACATGTAGAAGTTATTTTCGGCCGGTATATCCTGTTTGAAAAAAATAACGAGTGTAATTTAAAAAACGAACACACTTATTATGACTTGAGCCGCCATCTTGGAAAAAATTTAACTTTCTTTAAGATAGAAATTAGATCGAATAGTATCTTAGTAGAGGAAGAAATCAAGATCAGCTCTTATTTTTTCTAAACAAATGCTCAAATCTAAGTAAATCATGCACGAAGCAAAAGAAAAGCAGGAAACCCAAGAGAACATGCGAGTTATTTCAACGCTGACTATTAACACATTCAAGGGTAGAGAAGGATAGATTATTTCTCGTGTGCATATAAAAATTCAGTGCGTAGAAAAATTGTATAAAGGCACACCTTGACTTCCGGTGGTACTTCAGCATCTGGATGATTATCAGTGATTTGGAGCACATAGGAAAGGAGGGGACCGTGCGGGAAAGGGCCAGGTTCCCAGCTCACACTTATACGTGTGGAATCAATGGGAGCCACTCGTACACTACTTGGTGGTGAAACAGGGATTCCTGAAGCTAGGGTACTTATGACGACACTGGGATTTGACACTATTTGGTTCTCTTGGTGCCCCAAAATCAAAACAATACGAAACTGGAACCAAAAATTGTAATAAATAAATGACCGGAGTTTTGACACTTACTCTATATTTTGTGTAGGGTTGTAAATTTTCAATTAGGACTGTATCGTTATCAAACCACGTGACATTTCGGCAGTAGTGCCACGTGGCTGTTAATTCTTCGTATTTCCACTGGACGTGGTAAGTCAGACCGACTCTCTTAGCCTCAGGGAAGTTCCATTCAAGTCTTAGAGAAGTCGCGCTGAGGGTGTCTGCGACCAAAGCTGGGGCCGGAGGAGTTAACAGTTTCGATTTCAATTGATTGAAATATTTAGTCATTGCGTCGTTGCATCCCATTACGCAGTAGAGGGCTTTAGGGGTGAGTCGGTCCATGGGACCGTTCTGAGGAACGCAGATTAATGAAATAGTTTCAAAATTTTTTGATTAATTACAGGGTGCGCCATAACTCGCACCCCAGAGAAAAATGTAAAGTAAGATGGAGCTTATTCCATATCTGGTGGCGAACTGACAGTGACAGAAAAGACACTTGGAGTGCGCCCACTTGGTTAAGATAAAAAAATACATGGGCGTTCTTTTTTTCTCTAAAAATTTTGAAGACAAGGATTGTTAGGAATATCATTTTTGAAAATTCTTTTCATGCATTAACAATTTAATAATTTGTTCATCATTCTTTATCTTATGTACGAGTACCTACTTATTATAATTTTTTAAAGAATAACAATGGTTTTGAGATATCATTTCATACGACGCCTATATGAACATTATTTTTTTTTTAATAGTAAAAATATGTTTAGTGTCATAATTCAGTCATTTTTGACAACGTCAGTTCGCCAGCAGATTTGGAACAAGCTATACTAGGAACATAGAAAAAATGTTACAAAAAAATTATCTATAAAAATTTCGAAGTTATGAGAATTTAAATTTTGCACTTTGACTCCATTTATTACTGTTGCAAAAATAATTTTCCAAGTTTTTTTGTTACAGGCTATTATAAGTGGACACAGGTTAGCTATATTCTAAATTGTAATGTTAATGTCAATGTTACTTGTGGCTTTTATTGGCAAAATTTTTGTACCTGTACTAAATGATTGTAAAAAAACATATACAAGATCATCAGTATCATTAAATAGACATGAAAAAATGTCAAATGTAAAAAAAATAATTTCAAAATTTTTTGACGGATAGAATTTTTTCCGTGTTCCTGGTATCTTATCTTACTTAAAATTTTCCTCTGGGGCGCGAGTTCTGGCGGGCTCTGTATACTTACGCAGACTTTGGGGCACGACGAGTTCAAAGCTCTCCGCCACAATTTGCAGCCTTTGTTGCACTGTAAAAAAATATACAGGGTGATTTGACCGGACAAACAAATTAAGTCGATAGGCGTGTGATATTTTTTAACGGAAGCTCTAATTAGTTTGCTTGAAAAATAAAATAGTGACCGCTTCCCATCGAAATTTTGACGAACATTTTTCGGCGTTGAATTTTTTTAAGCCGTTGTACGAGTCGAGTTACCTCTAATTCCCCACTTCCTCATTAAGTCAATAATCAGTGTTATATGGAGCGCCCTTCGAATTAAAAATCATCGTCTGAACGGTTCATTATTATTAATTGAAACGATTTAAAGGCTTCACTCGGTACTGTTTTGCTATTTTTAATCTTGTCTTCGGTAGCTATCATTTTAAAATACCTTGTCGACATAAATATAAACAACATTCTTTCTTGTTTACTAAACTGCTCCTGTTTAAAGTAGTTCATGGCTGGGCTCTACACCCTCAGATAGGGTAAGTGCATCGGCGCCAGACGATACAAACCATTTAGAGAAATTTATTTTTAAAAGTAGAACATTTAAAACTGGGGCTAATAATACAAGTGATTTTATTAAACAAATAACAATAAATGTTGATTTTTAATTATTCAAGGGTTTGGGGTGAATTAGTTTGGTTGTTTTCAGAGACACATGGTCGGGTTTATGGACTGTTAAGTGTCAAGTGGATAGGGGTAGCGCACTAAACAAACATTGTAATTATCAGGTCTGGTTTCTGTTTCTCGTAATTTTTAAAATAGGGCTGATTTGCCTCAACCAGACGATTATTTACTTTTTTCAGTTTAAATCGTGAAAGACATTTTGGTTCTGCTCCTTTTACGTTAAATTTAAATCAAAAAAATTATCAAACATTATTATCTAAAAGTCATTTTAAATGAACAATATACCGAAAAATTACCCTGCTTAAGAGCGTAATCACTGTAGTCAGTACTTATTCCTTTTTAGTTTTATCATTAAATAATAATTACGTTCAGCGATTTTTTGCGTTAATAAGATAACAATATGCGATGTAAGTGTTTGATACTGATATAGATAGAATTTTTCCCGTGGTATTCCATTACATAATTTTTGATAGTGTTATGCTTGTAAATAATGTTTCCCGCTATTTGTGAAAAGTATCTGAAATGTTTTGATGTCGTAACGATGTCAAAAAACTGATCATGGATTTATTTACGAAAATAAAAACGAAATATTAATGGCGTCTTAAGGAGCCACTATTATCAACGAAGGCGCTGTAGGTCATTTAAGGTCGCTCTTCGTCTGACCCGCAAACTTAAAAACGTCAATCTTCCATCATACAAACATTACATTTAAATTGATTAAGTAGACGCGTGCTCAAAAATTGGACCCTTATTCAAGCCATTGCCATACTGTTTGTCTATCGAAACAACAACCAAATATTCCAAACGATTGATTTATGCAATTAATTCCACATTCTAACGAAATTTATTTATAAACATTAAGCGATAATGTGAAAAATTTTGTCAATTTTGGGAATTCGTTCGTTCCAGCTTGACTGCAAGTAGGCGTTTAAGCGTGTCTTGTTCACTTAAGTCGGGTTAGATTGAATTATGGACTACAATGGCCGCGAAGTGTCCTCGGCCAATGTGTTTACGGCCATTCATGCCGCATCACAATTAACCATTATTGACCTTTCCACTTTATTTCATTAAAACGGTAGCTTTTTTCTAGATTCCATTACTTTGGTTCGTCAGCTGCTTGCAGATTTCGTCTCCAAGCCAGCATACGCGCCCGATCTGAATCCGATGGTACAGTTTTATACTGACCACAAACACGCCCATGGGTGACAATCACAAACCGGAAACGGATCTTTGGTGCTTGATCTCGTTGAATAACTATGCACTTCGCATACGATTCAGGTTTCCTTCGTTTGATTCATATTTTGTGGTCGAAAATGAGGAAGCCCTTGATACGCTCCAAGGAAAATCCGTTGGCTTACCTGGTTGATGTTACATCCGTAATCACAAGCGTAGTCATAATGGCCTGCATCCGTCCGATTCTGGAACAAAAGTACAGGAAATTGGTTAAAATCGTTTGAAGGAATTTCGACGGGAGGTCCCCATAGCGGCCCCAAATGATAAACTCTGCTGTTTTTTTATCCCAAGCTTTAATTAGTTTGCAAAAATTTTAAACAAACATTATCAGTCTGTTCACTTGATTAAAATAATAAAAATTAACAGCTTTGAGACAATAACAATTAGTTACAATTAAGCGCCTTTATTTTTAGCTGATTTGACATGAACGAGTTAAGCGGTTGGCGATCGGCATTTTAATCAACGACCCATATTTATTAGCACAACTTTAGTTTTTTTCTTAATTTTTTTTGTTTTTGGCAATATTGAGGTTTTCCTATTATAAACATAAATGATATAAACGTACAACCTCATTTTCTTTAAACAAAAGGCTGGACTTCTTTAACACTTTAACAACATAAAACACATGGCCAAATGAATTTTAAACGAATTTTAGGCTGGTGTTTTTTTAATTTTTTCCTTATAAAACATAATTAAACTATTATTTAGTGGTTAATACGGAATAATTTTTTAATAGCGATTCAAGAAATTTCCAGATTAGGTAGAAATATAAATTCAAAATAATTTTTAGAGCTAATATACAGGGTGCGTCAGAACTCGCGCCCCAGAGAAAAATTTCAAGTAAGATAAGATACCAGAAACATGGAAAAAATGTTTTAAAAATTCATTTATTTTTTGACATTTGACATTTTTTTAGGTCTATTTAATGATCTTGTATATGTTTTTTTACAATTATTTAGTAAAGGTAGGTACAAAAATTTTGCCAATAAAAGCCACAATTAATATTAAACAAAACTACAATTTAGGATACAGCTTCCTTGTTTTTTCTTCTAATAGCCTGTAGCAAAAAAACTTGTAAAATTATGTTTCCAACAGAAATAAATAGAGTCAAAGTACAAAATTTAAACTCTCATAACTTCGAAATTTTTATAGGTAATTTTTTTTTTACATTTTTTCTATGTTCCTGGTCTCTTACATCATATGTCATTTTTCTCTGGGGCGCGTGTTCTGGCGAACCTTGTATTTTTAATTAAAAATAATAATGAAATATGTATAACTGTATTATTTTAACATAGCTTATTGTTTAGAAAAAAACATTTTTCAGGTGAGTTTGGTTTTCCAAATGTTTTCAATTTTAATTAGGTAATATGAAACAGATAATTTATGGTTTTTAGAGAAAGGTAATCGTTGAGGTAAATATTTGCTTAAGTACGTTTTATTTCAATCTTGTTATACATACTCGAGTTAAAGTGTGCTTTATTGAACTTAAAATAATTATATCAAGTAGCATTTTAACCACACGGGTAGGTAGATACTCGTAATAATATCTGTACCCCAGAATAAAAATGTACTAACTCCAAATTTCTTGAAAATTGGATTTCCACAGATTTATGTACTTACTTATAATTTCTTCCCAGCTTTCTGATGAAAAACAGTATTAAATTCTATCTTTGATAGTTGGGAAGATACGCATTTTTTAAATGATATTAACTAACTTAATAAAACTGTTTTTCAAATTTTCAATTCGATTTAATTCGTATTTGTGGTTTTGTGACTTCGTACACTTTTATTCTGGGGTATAGATAGATATAAACGATGAGTCTTCACTTATATGTTATGATTATATGAAAGATTATGATTAATAATAAGTAAAAAATAAGTTAATTTTTTTTATTTTTCAACTCTTAATAAAAATATTCTACCCAAATAAAAAAAAATGATTCATTTAGCTATGGACAGATGTGGTGTGAATAAATGTAAGATCGGCATTGATGTTCAAAGTATCTAAAATTTAAAATCTGTAATAGTGTTTTTAACACGGTATATCTCGGTAGCTAAGAAACTTTTATTAGATTTTTTTTCACTATTAGGTACTCGTAGTTATTATCTGGCATAATCTATGTCTTCTCTATACATTGTGTAAAAAATAACTATAACTCTTTCGCTCTTACTGGAAAACAACACCTTTCATTGACAAGTTTAATGAAATAAATAAGTGTTTAGACCAAGTTTCTCCCGTACAAATATATTAAAAAATAAAAAGCACATTGACGTTTGGTATGAGTACAATAACTCTTTATTTTTTTTTAAATACTACGTGTTTTAATAAACGGCAAATTAACAAACACATTTTAATTATTAATCATTTATTATTATTAATTATTTTGTTTGAATTATATTGTCTTCTCTTTGTTAATTTATGTAAATTTTGGAACAGCCTGTGCACACTTTAACATGTACAAAAAATTCTTGACTAAACTCGTTAACAAATAGAAATATTTTTCTGTCTCGTTAAGACAAGAGCTTGTCAGTGAAGAATGTAGATAAATGGGCTATAGAAATTAATTATTCGGCACCCTTTGGTAAATAATTATTAAAAAAAAATGATTTCTTTAAAGTGTTTATGACACTCACCAGGATAAAACAATGTTTGTTGAGAAATACTCAAAAAGTAAGTAACTCAAATAACTGGAACAATTATGGTTTAATATTACTTCCCTTGTTAAAAAATGCTCTGTTTTTGTTAGAGTGCGTTCCTCTCAACGTAAATTAATTTGTCGCATATGTGTCTTAATTGTCCCATGTGGTTGCATATTCTCCCATCACAATTTAAGTTAATCAGCTCAATTGATACACTATTGAAATTGTAATAAGCAATTAAATTGCGATTTCTGTCGACATAAAATTGTAAATTGTTTGTTAGGAGATACCTCCGTGTGTGGTAAACTGTTTTGTTTATACAACACAAGACAGTTTTGATACAGAAAATATGTCGTCACACGATTACAAATTAATTACCTTCTTCTTTTAAACTATCTGTTGTTGAGTTTGACCCTCGCGCTTCGTATCGTGACTCCATTGCTATAATTATTATGAACGATAAGATTTCTGGGCGCCCGGAGACCTCCTCCCAAACAAAAATTTTTTACTGGTCTGTGTTAATTATGTCACTTTCGTTAAGGGGTTGAGGCCGTAATTGGGCGCTTCCGGCGCACTTGTTGATTATAATTTCAAATGATTTCAAATGCGACACCCCCGTGTTCAAGTGTGTGATTTTTGAGCGGAAAAGGCTGGGCGAGGAAGTCCACTCAGGTGGAAAAAAGCAAGTCAGGTGCACCCTTCTTCCACTTATTTGGTTAAGACAGTTTTGGAATTTTTTAACGGACAAGAGTCGCCGCTTGAAACTCAAGTGTCGGATTAAATTATTTCGAAAGTGTTTCCAAACAGAACAACAATTGTTTATGTTTACGGATTAATTTACATTTCGTACAATTTTATCAATCAAAAACAGTGACTGTTTAATATTTGGGTCGCTGTAGAATTTTATAGTCGAATTATCAAACCGAAAAAATTTAGCGACTCGTCAGTCCCGAGCGATAACCATCAAGACTAAACTTTTGATGTGGAAATGGAAAGGTTAAGCGTTTTGTCCAAGTGCTAAAAATTCCAAAAGTGAAGTAACTCCTTTATCAATAAAAAATAATCGAACTGAAAGCGAGATGTTATTAATAATATTTCTGGCAATACCGGTCATTGGTCAATGATCATCGATAAACTCTTAATTAAGCTATGAATAATCCAATTTTTGGAGGGAGCGCCAAAACACCCCTTGCAGAATTTTTACGACTTCTCATTGACATTTAATCCCGGAAGACAATGAAATTCCCTCGTATAAACTATGATTTACCTGGAGAGGGCAATGTTGAATGCACTGATACTCCACTTGGTGGTCGAAATTCGCACAAGTCCTTCCGATGGCGATGACCAGAAAAAGCCATAAAAGTAACATTTTTTCGTAAATCACATGTTCACTTTGTTCAGTTAAGAAATAATCGCATAAAAATTCAAAAGATGCGCGCACGCAAGCGTTCGCGACTTAACGCACGACACAAACTTACTGAGTACGGTGTGGTGGTTAAGAAGAGTGGTAGGCGAGTTCCGCCCCCACTATGTTTAGGAACAAGTGCATCAATGAAAAATAATTACATACTCAAACAATGCTTAACTACTTCCGTTACTTTATAATTAATGGAGTTGGATGCAAGCAAGGGTGAAGAAGAGGAAAGAATAAAGATACACAAAACATAAATTATTTTTACCACTTTAAATTTCTGACAGGGGTTTTAAACCAATTAAAGGTAATTTTGAAACATTTTAAAAACAAGTATCTGTTGGACTAGTAACAATAAATCTTTATTATTATTGTCACTAATAACAGAAAAAGACACAACATTCTAAGGATTTGTGAAGTTTTATTACTTTCAGTTAAGCAACTCGTGTTAATAAGTAAATAATTTTTAAAACAGATTTTTTTTAATTTAATGTTAACAAATAAAACATACCCGTTAATATTAATTAATCAGTACCAGATAACTATAAATAAAACGCAACAGTTTGTTTAAATCAGTGTATTATTGGTTGCCTGGCCTATAATTGTCAAATTGTAATATAAAAAAATCAATTTTGTTGTTAATTCCGTCTCAAATGATAAAACTTTTCTCAACTTCAATTAAATAAGTAAAAGAAAAATACAGGGCTGAAAACCAAAGACATTTATTTAGAGATTTAGATTTCAAAAAAAAAAAAACAAATAAATATTACAATACCGCGTATATTTAATCTAATTTTATTCGATTATAAAACGAGCGGCGCAGCGAGGAGGGATTTTGGGGATAAAATCCCCCCAGAACAAAATCAGGCAAAATTATTATATAGTGGTAATAAAACTAAAATTATATTTTAGCAACAACCAAATTAAACATTCGAATTTTGTATACAATTATTTTCGATGTTGGCATATCATAACTTTATTAGATTCACAAATTTTAAATTTTGTAAATTGCGACAAAACTGTACCTCAAACCTTATAAAGTTTTTATGCATACATATGTAAAATGTTACAAAAATCGATTGGCGTCGAAAAAAGTGCAAAATGCTTGATCGTTTAGAAGTTATAGTTGAATTAATATTTTGGATATTTTCGACTTTATCAGGAATTTGCACGATAACTATTTAACGTAGGACAATTATCTTTTTTATATGATAAGAAATTAAATTTGCTTTTTAACGGTACTAAACAAATAGAACTAGCCTCGATAATTCCGAAGTTGTTAGCAATAAACCGCCGAAAATTTCGACAAAAATCGAAAAAATTTAAAATTGAACCATTTTCACTCTTGGAGTTTCAAAGTACAAAAACGTTCCAAAAATGCAAAAAATAAATTTCTGAAAATTTTTGTATTTTGTCTGTATGAATGTATTGAATTAAAACATTGAGATTGTCGGCGGCGTGGTGGTGTAGCGGTATAAAGTCCCGCTTTCCGGCAGGAAGAAGTCAGCAATTTTTCACTAATTGAAATTTAAATACTCAAATTAGCAATAAAAGATGGAGGGCGCATAAGAGCGCGGACTTTAAAACATGTGCACATGTTCTAATAATTATAATAAGAGAGAGATCGCATAAGACCAAATAAGAACGTAAAGCAACATAAGAAAAAGAAAGAGCATAAGAACAAATAAGTGAACAAAGCATAGGAAGGGAAAGTGCATAAAAAATCCTAAGAGCTTTTTTCTGTGTCCGTGTTACAATGGACATTAATATTTGTGGCAGTAAGCGCAAAAATTTATTTCTAAATCGAATTACTAGCACATTTGTTTAACCTTTTTTCAATATTAAATTACTAAGTAATGAACAAAGCATAGGAAGGGAAAGCGCATAAAAAATCCTAAGAGCTTTTTTCTGTGTCCGTGTTACAATGGACATTAATATTTGTGGCAGTAAGCGCAAAAATTTATTTCTAAATCGAATTATTAGCACATTTGTTTAACCTTTCTTCAATATTAAATTACTAAGTAAAAGTAAATTACTAGTCTGCAAGTAGGAAGTAAAATGCTGTAATAAGAACTAGATCATTATACATTTATTAATTGTTATTAAGTATACGTATTTATTATTTTTTATTATTGATTCTTCTTGTATTTAACTGATTTTGTCAAAGGCACATTGACCGCCACTTTTTTCCCTAGACGGGCGCTCTTAACCTTCGTAATTCTTCATAAATTTATTACTTTGGGACCATGGGATGTAATAACAAATTTCCCACGCTCCAAAAGGTTAGTCTGTAGTGAATTCGAATGAATAATATTATTGGATCATTTTAGACAAAAGTCGGAAATAAATTCTTAAATTAAGATTTACTCAGCAGTCGGGTTCAAAATTCCTTTATGATATTGTTGTTGTTTTCTGTTATTTTTAATTAAAAAATTAATAAATCAAACCTACTATGAATTTAATTTGTTTACTTACAATTTTTGTCGTTTCTCACGCCATGTTGCGATTTTTTGCCAGAAAAGATGGCACATTTCCATGGAAGAATCTTGTTCAACTTGGAAAAAAATGTCAAGGCTGTAATTCAATAAAGAACAATTCCTCTCTCATCTCGCCCGATTCTGGTTCACGATCTATTAATCGATTAACCTACACAACATTTCGCCATTTTTTCGTACACATATTTCCATATTTTATTAAATAGTGAATGTATGGAACAGATTCTAGCCTTGACGAGCGATTTGTTTATCAAACTGGATTTTTTCCCCAAATGGGATGGGTTACTTGACATCTTTAAATATTTCACAATAGTGAATACTCTTTAATTGTTTCTTAGAGCGAGACAATATTGTAAAAGGTGTTATTACTCTGCAACTTCTTTACTGCCATCTCTACAAACCTAATTTGGAATAGTAGAAAGAAGCTGACCTTTCATGATACATATTGATACTTAATATTTCTATAGCTTTAATCAGCTTTAGATTACTTAATTAGTGCAATTATTTAACTGACTAAAGTGTGATTGAAGAGAATCAGTTTCAAATTCTTTCATTTGAAGGTTATTAAACCATTCTTTGAATAAAGTTACTGACATTTTCTGTTTCAGATCATAACAATCATTTAATAAAAGCTAAATCAACCTCTTGTCTACGTTGTAATTTAATTCTTTATTAGTTGTCGATTACCTTCTGAAGGCCGAAACGTCACAAAATGTTAAAATAATTATTTTGAAGACTTTCTTAGCACGAGAACAAAGCGAAAAAATTCACTGTTCTTACAAATCCCACACAAAATCGATAATTGATAAAGTTTCTCCACTTCAACTTGATTATTATTATTTTGTCTTATTAGCGCCAAATTATAGTAATAGAAACAAAATAGTTTTTAAATGTTAACACAGTTAAGTAGCATTGGCTATTTTGGGAAAAGTGGCAGATGATTTATGTAATTTTGATTTAAAGGACAAGGCTATGTTTTTATACTTTTGGCGATTTTATATCATTTTATGATATCCTAACAAGTAATTAATAATATTTGTTTCAAAATGCAAGGTCAAATAACAGGGTTGCGACACTGCTGCCACACCAAAGATTTAGAATTCAGTCAGTCGTACCAACATTTCAAGGCGAGAGCATCTTAGTCTTTACACACATTAGAATACAATTTTGTCCATGCTCTTGAACTCTAGAATGCTCTTACCTAAATTTTTGACGTAATTTTTCGCCCGTGGCGCCAATAATTCAAAAGAATAATGAAAAATTGACAACATTTGCACATCTATTGTTTTATTATAATTTATTCTTATGTTAAGACAAATTGTGTAATTGTCGTGACACAGAAAATATTTTTGTTGCATATGAATGTTGCTGGGAGGATTTTTGTGATTTAGAGTAAGCGGAGCTAGACCAGGATTTAGCAAAATTAATTGTTTCCACAAATAATAATCATAGTTAATGTTTTTTCTCGCTAATTATGATGTTTGTACATGTTAGGAAAACCTACCCAATTAAGGTAATTTGTAGCGGTTTAAACGGTATGGAAATTACATGGTTGCACGATTGTACACTCTTAATATAAAATCAACACTTTGAAATTACTTTACCACAAGTACTTGCCTGTTTATTTTGTTAATAAGAGTTGTCAAATGTTGATTGCCTAATGAAGAATAAATTCAATGATTCATTTCACTAATTATTAACACCAGACACTAAATACTTCCTATTTTGAATAAAAATGAATGAATAACTATGTGAGTACCTATTATTACGCATTTACCAGCTTCACGGCCTTGATGCTAACAATTTTATTTTATGTTTTATTACATTTTAATTACAATTTTGATGTTTTCCACGTTTCTGTAGACTACCTGAATTGAAATCTTACGAAATGTCTCTAAAGGCGCAAAGTAGAAGGTTACTAGAAAAAGGTTACAACAGATCTTTAAAATGGGTATTTTAAGTTTGATTATCTTAAAAGATCAGTGAAAAGAATTAATTAAGTGAACTATCACGTCGTTATGTAATGAGATTTGTCAAAATTTTAAATATCACATTTACATTCAAACAAGTATTTTTGAGGAAGATTGAAGATGTATCCGTTCGAAACAGGAAACTAGTTTCTCTTTCAAGTCCGACTTACACAATACGAAAAATCAATCTGACAAAGAAATTAATTAGTGTTGCTACCAGTAATTGGCTTTTTGTATTTTTCGAAACGAAAGTGTATTGCATTGTTGTGACCTTTTGGACCCGAATTTCGGGAAGCTTCACCTCTGACCCCGCTTTTACATAAGAAAACGGTCGATTTGTTGTTGCAAAGTGTCTAGTCACGTAATATTTAGCTCCTAATTTGTTCTTTGTATGAATTTAAATTGAAACTGACGTGTTACATAACTTCGTAGACAATAGTACGTTTTTTGAGCGATTTCAGATTAGGGTGTTAGTGGCTGTTGTGGTTTTCCCTCAAAAAAATTTTCTTGGCTGGAGGTGTGAAAAGGAATGCCGCTTTGCCTCCAACACACTATTGACAAAGCTACCAGAAAATGATGTCACAAATTGCATAAGTTTTGCAAATACAATATGTCGCCTAATGCACTTTACGAAATTACCATTATTTTCGATAAGAATTTCGCAAGGTGCTGAAGAACCGATTGGTGATTTTTATGGACTTGCACATCTTCAAACCGACAATCTGGTCCCATTTGGGTTACGTCTAGGTGCGTTGCGACTCCCTTCTCTTGCTCCAGCCTTGTGACCTGGTGACCTCTCTTACTCTCGAGCACGGCTCGTCTTCGCCGAGTTGTAGATTTGTAGTGGGACGGGTTGTATCGTGAAGTGTGAAGAACGGTTCTTTGTAATGTGGCGGCTTTTGGGATTTGGAGTCGTTTTTGCCGCCGTCGCGGCGCTCAACAACCAGGTATTTTTTATTAAAGAAAAAAACAAATTTTATATTACATTCTTCAATGATTTATTGATGGAGTTTTAGGCTAAGGGCAAACAAGATATTAATATCCAACTATAAAACATTTAACTCTCCAATAACAAAGTTTTTGCTTCTAGCCAAATGAAACATTTTTTTCTTTAACTTTCTGTTGTCATTACTATGCACAAGAGAATAACAAAATGTTAAAATTGCATCAAATATCAATTTTTGCAATTTAGAGTTGCTTGACATGATTTTAATGCAAAAGATGTGTTATTAAAATTTCTTCACTGCAATGAAAATCATTCGACATAAAATTGTATGAATTTTAATTAATCATAAATTAAATAAAATATTGGCTAAATAAACGTAACACGAAAATGAAGCAATTTTTTAGGAAATATTTGCTCACATTAACTGAAATTGGAACTTATTGTTAGCAATTTTTTATCATAAAAAAATTGGGCTCATCGGCTCATCACAGATTGACACAGTAGGTATTATCTAAATAGTTTTTATTTTTTTATGTTTGAAATAGACTATGTTTATAAAAAGCCAATACCAATTCATAAAGAAAAATGTATTTGAAAGAAAATTTTTGGTCCGCTAAATTTTCTGCTATAAATACTCATATTTCCACAGTTTTGACTAATGATTAGCAATTCCCAGTAAGTTGTGATTCAGACTGAAAAAAATAATCTCTCTAGAAACAAAACTAGGATGCAAATGCTTGTAGTAATTTACTATTTTTCCATTCATTTAAATCATCAGTTATAGGAAAAATTTGAGTCAATTATTAAAAACCAATCATTCATTTAATTTCAATTGCTCTTCAAATCTAGAAGTATTTCACAGTGATTACAAGAGCTTTGTTACAGATTGACAAAAATGTGCGTTCATCAGCATTCATATTTCATGCCGAAATTGACATTTAAAAGACAACCGGTAATTATGTGAAGAGTTTTTAGTTTAATTAACATGTGATGTTGGTACAAGTGATTACAGTATATGTCATACTCGTCATTTTATACATCAATTAAAATTTATACAAATTGTAATTACAAAATAATTCTTGTGAGAAATAGACCCAGGATTGCTCAATTTGTGGCGAAGAGACTTTTACAGTTAATGCACCTACATATAGCTTTCGGTCACTCATGCATATAACACTCATCTCTACAAATATTTGATTTTAATAAATAATGTAAATTGTTAAATGGCATTGGGACGTGGGATGAGTAACAAAATACACGAATGTCTGCACGGATGAATGGACCATCTAATTAATAATTCACTGGTAACATTTAAAATAAAAACAATAAAAATATGTCTTGGTGACATTTGACCCAACTGGTTTTAATAAATATGTATATTTCGATAAAAAAGGCTTTTTTATTATGTGCATACAGTTTATAGTAACTACTGGATGGATCGCTATTTAAGTCAATCTGCATATTTTAAATTTATCAAGGTTGTATCTGTCATCTTATTTTTTAAATTCCAAATGTAGTCGTTTTTTATAGGAGGAGTCATTTTAATAAATGAGCGTCATTTTTTCAATATTTATTTTTTCAATAATTAACTGTAGATGACTACTGTACAAATAACTTAAACCAAAAATAATTCTAACGTAATTAATAAAATAATATTATTTTCTACCGGTGGTGATGTGTTTATAAAAGAATTAATATTCAATGCGACAGTGTTTTCTAATTGACTGAAACGTGTTAAAACACCTTAATTATGTTATAAAATGTCTACATTTCCAATTTAGGAGCCTCCAAAACCGATTTATAATTTATCATTCACCCACATCATATCCAAAATAGCCTCACAAGAGAAAGTGATTGGTTATTACGTTACTTTTGATTTTTGCAAAAGTTGGCAGGATCTGATATTCCAGTCAAAGCAGCAATTACCTTAATGGTTTAGCATTATGTATTGTTTAGGGTATTTTATTTTGTCCACTTTCACAACATAAAATGCCATGTGATTTTTTACGTTGGTATACCCAAATTGTTTCGAGGAATAACTAGATCCGGGTGCAAAAGCACAATCATCAATTTTCCAAATAAGCTAATTTGCGAAGGCTGCAGCTGACCTCATCGTGAAAATCTTTTGTTACCATTTTTGTTACCATTACGTCTTTATGTGGATTATAAAACGACCTTGCTGATGTAACATGTTAGAAAAAATCATGTTGAAGATGCAACTTGTTCTAAACTTCTCACAATTGTGTGGAGAATGATGAGATAATAATTGTATGAAGCACGATTGTGGTATTTCCGTAATTTTGGCGACTGTTAATTACCGGTCACGCTTTTGACACAATTGTTACACATTTTTAAACCGAAAGTGTTATCGAGCCGAAATCTAATTAAATCTAGCCACGAATAAGTTATAAAAATTTTAATTTCTCATGTTTTTGCACAAGTGTGACCAACACTACGTGGGTCTTGTAACCTCCAGATTTACTACATCGATTAGTGCCAAAATTAAGGAAACGCCTAGTTGTGCATGTAGCTTAAACAATTCTTTTGTACAATTTAAAATTTGCTCAAGTGTGAAGATCCGAATCAATAAATATAACAATTGCACAATTCGGTTATGTAAATAACAGACCTACACATTCTTACGAATTGACCTATAAGAGATAGAAAGGTAGATAAGCCTCTGATGTTCTTTATCCGAAAGAAAGGCTGTTACACAGAGGTCAAGAACAGCAAAAATGTGCATAGTTGGCCTAGCACTAATATATTTTTTTTGTTCAGGTTCCTAAAACTGGCTTTTCCTGCGAGGGTCGTACTACCGGGTACTACGCCGACGTTGAAAGTGGTTGTCAAGTCTATCACATGTGTGATGGTTTGGGTCGCCAGTTTAGCTACACTTGTCCCAATGCAACTCTCTTCCAACAAAGAATGTTAATCTGTGACCATTGGTACATGGTCAACTGTAGCAAATCCGTCGATGACTATACTGCCAACTTGAGAATCGGACATAAAGAAATGCCCTTCGTCGACGATAACGAAGCGAATCCTTACCATAGGACTCCAAGGCCTGACCTACTGTCACACCCGAGTCAGTCTGAATATGACATTATATACCGGACAGGGAGGGCTCAATTTGGTACTAATCTGAATCTAGTCGGTGCTGAATCAGACCCGAAGAATAGTACTACTAGTACTACAGACGAACCCGCTTATTCCTTACCCAGCCATTGGTCGACGGAGTACCACCATCAAGTGACCACAAGTAAACCACCAAAGCCGGTCAAAAAGGCTAAACCCATCAGTACCGTAAATACAATCACGGATTCTCCAGTTGTTAACTACCAGTCGTACTGTAAAGCTACGACTCCTGTGTTTCCCAAAAGTGTCGATGTGACAGAAGCACCCGATTTGGGGTTATTGCCCCCCGATGTTAGTACCGAAACTCCGGTAAATTTCGAGTCGAAATTCAAAGCTACGACTCCAGTGTTTCCGCAAAGTGTCGATGTGACAGAAGCACCTGATTTGGGGCTGCTACCACCTTTGCCGTACCGAATGAATGGTAGTAATCCCAGTGAGAATTTAGTCGTTAGTACTGAAACTCCGGTAAATTTCGAGTCAAAATTTAAGGCTACAACTCCAGTCTATCCTAAAACTGTTGAACTGACAAGTGAAGAACCCGCCGATGTGGGTGTTTTGCCTCCTAAAGACAGAAATTCTTCTGAAACTGATCAAAATGTTCCCTCCTTAAGTATCGATTTTGAGCCACCAGCCGTCGATTCTAACTTCAAACCGGGTGATCATTCCCAAGAATTACAACCGGAATTACCCTCTAAGTTCTACCAACCTCCGAAATTTGAGCCTGACTATACAGAATTGGCAAAACAATCACAGGAGAACAGTCATGAAAGTCAAAAAGGTGGTTTTAAGGCACTTAGTAGTAGTGAATGGGAAGATTTAAGGAAAAAATTTTTAATTCCTGATTACGAATTTCCGTTGGAGACTGTTTCTAGACCTAGTTATGACAGTGTTTTGAGTTCGTTTCAAGTAGGACCAGTGCCATCTGAGAAAGAGTGAAGTAGTACTGTATGTATATGGGAAAAACTACATTTTTCCTTTAAAGTCTGATACCAAAGTTGGGTAATAGCATGAGATACTCGTATTTAAAATTATGTATGATTGTAAATAATAGCTCCGATGTACTTAATAATAACAGAGTTGGAAAAACCAGTCAATTATAATTACCACAACCATTGTTATAAGTGTTTGTATAAGTGTAAAATACGCACGAATAAAATAGCTTTAAGTAAATCGGGTTATATAATTGTAATGTCGCCATTTTTTTCTAAGGACCCACACTTAATTTATACTTTTGTAACAGGATAATTAAATAAAGAATGTAAAACAGATAGTTTGTAATTTTATTTTGACGCCAAGTTCAAAAAATTAAAAAATCTTTATTTGGACAGTTATTTTACTGTAATTTTTTTGCTATTGAAAGTTGAAAGCTGTTCCAATGTCGAAAACGTAAAATTCATCATGGTCGCAGTTATGTGAATACCCGCATTTCTGCAAATGGTGTATTGTTGGTTGCCTATCCTTCGGCATTGTACATTAAAATTCATTGGCGGTTTTAGTCCTCATTTGCACGAACGGACCATAACAACTCCATTTCTTGCACAAATTCTTCATCTGTGACTCACTTTCGAATCAAATTTACCCGAGTGTGACATACTAGAAAAGCGAAGTGCCGGCTTTGTGCCTCCTCCTTATTTACCAGTTCGATGACGTATACCGGATGAATTATAGCCGAAAGATAAGATTTTCCAATATAAGTGCATTGTTCCAACAGCGAGGACCATGGACAAGCCCCGAGTTTTAATCCTGGGAGGTAAAGACTCTTTAAATTCAAAGTGCAAATATCTAACCTAAAAACTCAAATTCGGACAGGTTGTGGCTTTATCGGGCGCAATTTGGTCGCTTTTCTCGTAAAAAATGATCTCGTAAGTGCAATAAGAGTCGTCGATAAGGTTCCCCCTCAAGTGGCGTGGCTTAACGAAGAATGTCACAAGTACTTCCAAAACCCCATCGTTGATTTCAAAAGTGCTAATCTTATTAATCCCGGTAGTTTTTCCCCAAATTGAATTACTCAGTTTTATGTATTTTTTTTATAGAATCTTGTAAAAGTGCATTTAGTTGCGACTCAACTTGGGATTATGTCGTCAATTGTGCCGGCGAGACAAAATTAGGCCAAACGGATCCAGTCTATGAAGAGGGGATTTTAAAACTGAGCCTCAATTGTGCTAAAGAGGCCGCGAGACAAAATGTGAAACACTACATCGAGTTGTCTTCGGGAAAAATGAACTCTTCTGATAAAGTGCCTCATAAAGAAGATGCCAATGTTGAACCTTGGTCTTTCATAGGAAAGTGGAAATACAAGGTTTAATACACTATTTTTCTACCATTCAACTAAACTCGTTTTTCTCAGGTTGAAAAACAGTTAACTGATATTCCAAATTTGAAATATACGATTTTACGCCTAGCTACGGTTTACGGTGTTGGGGACCGAATGGGGCTGACCCCCAGACTTATTGTTGCTTCCATTTATAAGTATTTAGGCGAAACGATGAAACTACTGTGGAATTCCGATCTCAAAATTAATACAGTGCATGTTTTAGATGTTTGCAGAGCCATTTGGTTTATCTGCACCCGAGATGATACTATAGGACAGGTAATTTCCCCAAAAATCGGGTCAAAAATACCAAAAAAACTATTCCAGGTTTATAATGTTGTGGATGAAGCTGATTCGACTCAAGGCTCGATATGCAACATTCTCTCCGATCTATTTAACATTAAAGTCGATTTTTGTGGCAATATTGTTTCGGCCGTTGTTGACCTTGAAAGCGCCGCTGACGATGCAAATGATAAACATTTAGTGCCTTGGGCTGAAGTCTGTCGACAGGACAATATACAAAACACGCCTTTGACCCCACATATGGACCCGGAATTACTCCTATGCAAGCATTTGAGACTTGATGGATCGAAGTTGAAGAATTTAGGATTTAAGTTGGATGTTCCTCAACCGACTGTTGATAATGTTAAGGAAATTTTCGATGATTATGTTAGGATGAAAGTGTTTCCAGTTTTGCTGGCACCTTAATTTTGTACTTATCGCTTTTTTGCATTCCAATTATGTGATTTTTACGGTTCTAGTTATGAAATAATAAGGGACTGAAATTGTCAATTAAAATTGCTCAAATTGTTACGATTTATAAATTGCATTTTGCTTATAACTTGTTTTGTTTATTGACCCCTAGGAGAAATAAGACACTTTTTTATAGAACAAAATATATTAGATTCTGCAAAAAATAAAAAAATCGTACCAAAATAAATTTGGCATTCAAGTTAATGAAGTAATGACTATATTTAGTTTGAGCTGATTTCTATTAGGTCCCGTCAAGTAGGGACTGTCGTGACTATTATTTGATATACTAGGATTAAGTTCACAAAACGGAATCAAATTATCAATATTCATAACTTTGTCCTCGTTAGTGAAATGGTGGATTTTTTCTTTGACTTCCATCACGTGTTCCACGCCTCCTTGAATGCCGTAAATTAATACAGCAACTTTGACTTTAATTTTCGCTTGTAAAAGTTCGCGACAAGCCAGCGACAATCTAACTGTTGAAATAATCTCTTCGGGAACTTCCAAAGTGCCTTGCCATACAATCAAGTAGCATTTTTTAAACCAAACTCCTTTGGGATACAAATCGACGACCCAATCATTGATTTTATCCGATTCGCAATCGGCGGCTGACATATGTGACGAAAAAACAAAAGTACTCGTGTGGTAACTGGGCAGACTGTTAAAATTTTCGATTAGCAAAACTGCACTGTATGTATCTGAAGTGTACAATCGCGGACTGAAGAGCAATTTCCCCTCTTGTGTTTGGCAGATTTTTTCGATTTGTTCCACTTGACCGGAATGATAGGTCATTCCAATGGCCATTCTGTCAACGAAAAACTCCTTGTGTTGTTTTATCAAAGGCGAGAGGAGCAAATCGGCGAGTTCTCGTGGTGTCATCATCGGAAACCTTATATAAATCATCACGTTTTTCACCAATTCGGACATATAATTTTCTCTTTCGCTCGCGCTTATTTCTGAATTGTACAACTTGATTTTTTGCAAATCCAACCATCGCACCACGCAATTGTAAAGGAACATTTCATTGTAAACAATAACGTCGTTTTCTTGTAAAAGATGAATAAGCATTTCTGCGTCAATGTTACTAAAATCGGGCGTGTTTGCGATTGATTCCAAGTTCCACTTGATGTAATTTCGGCATTTTTCTGCGACTTCGTCGTGACCACAAGGAATTGAGTATTGCAACCATAGAAATAACTGGTTATGGGAGGCGGCGTGTGGGACATGTTTGCACATGTAGTCAACGCAGAGTCGCGATAATCCCTTCACGATATATTTATCAGCTAGAGCTAAGATTGGCATTACGTTAGTATGTGTGATTAGGATTTTTCCAGTATAAAAATATTCTAAGAATAAATGGAACACTTTTTCGCATTCTGGGAGTAATTCCTGAAGCTCGACCTTACTCTCGTGCCATTCACACCATTCAGGCTTCATGAGCATTGCCTGAAATCACAAGAGACAACTCCACTGCTGTTTACAAAAAAAATAAAATATGTACCTGGAAAACGTCACTGAAAGCGCAGAGTATGAGTCGATGAGCATAGTGCTCCCTATTTCCAACTCGTAAAGCCACATCACACATCTGTCTCTCCACATACAAGTTTCGTAAAATGTTTAAAACAGTTTGGGAGTTATCAACCTACAATTGCAAAAACTTACATAAAAACCGACAAATTAGGTGGAAAACAGTCACCACCATAATCTGGCACGAATTTTCATTAATTTGGGGGGAACATTTGCGTCTGTTTTTCAACGAGGGCTCCCCTAAATCACTCTTGCGTTCCATTTGAACAATTTAGTGATTTCCAATAACAAAACTAGAATTATTTGTTCTAAATGAAAATGACAGGGACGAATAGACTCGAAGTGAGGTCATTTCCTCGGAATTCAAAGATTATCACTTTGTTTACGTTAATTTACGAATATCAATAGTTTTAGTTAGGTTAGAATTTGTGACATTTAACCAGCTGAGCTGACTCCGAATGTCACCGACTTGTGCCGATTTATACTAATCAGCGGGAAATTCAAAATTAAATTTTTGTGTTTAATATTTATCTAATCAAATTAATAATCCAAAAGCCACATATTAGTTGAAATTGTATGATTTTAATGTGATATTAAATTTAAAAACTGTGATTAAACCTCGTGCCTTTTTATCGTCACACTTGCAATGTAAAAATGAGGGCCTATTTTGAGAATGAAACTTTGTTTTGTTTTTTAGTTATGCGTCATTTTTTATTAAAATAGCAGCTTATATGAAATTTTTTTCGATAAAAATTGAATAAAATAATAGCTATAATCCTTAGATCATCCTTACATTACAAATAAGTTGATTTCATAATGGTTAATTATTCGCACTAATTAATTTTTCAAAAAATAAATAGTTTAAGTAAAAAAAAACCTTTGGTTTCATACGTTTTACACTAACAACACTGCAACTGCATTTTTTAAAGTGAAGTTGGTCATAATTATTTGATTTCTGTGTAAAAGAAAATTCTTTGTTACAACTTGACTTTATACTGACAAATTTAGGGCCAAAAACTCAAAAAAAGCGTAATGAAAAGTGGCAGAATGGCGATAAAAATGAGAAATGATTCGAGGTACCCCTATGTACATAGGGTGTTAAAAAAACATTGTAAAATATTTCATGAAGTAATAGTATCAAGGACTAAAACAAACAAAAAGTCTTAATAAACATGGGTCCGAAAAGTAATGGTTTTGGAGATATCGAAGATTATTCGTTTTTGAAACATTTATTTGCAATCTGTTCAAACAAAAAAGACAAGCTTATAGAAGCTGTGGAAATTTTTACAATTGTTATAGAACAATTGTAAAAATTTCCACATTCGACATCTCTGAAACTGTTACTTTGCGGACTCATGTTTATTAAGACTTTTTTGTTTATTTTAGTCCATACTTATTTTCTCCTATTTTACAATCTTTTTTTACGACCCTTTATGTACTTAATTATAGTTGCTTCAAAAAACTGCTAAATATTTTCTTTTTTTTTAAATTAAAAATTGGTTTGAAATTTATTGTGATTTATCAGAAACGGTAAAAAGTCAAAGAAATCGATTAAAAAACTTTTGATTTTGAAAAAAAGTCCGGAACTATAGTTGCAGCTTTTTTAAGTATAAAACTCTAATATTTCATTAAAGATGAATAGACAAAAAACTGTTTTTATCTGAGATTGACATGTTGTCTACAGGCTTTTGGGTTTTTCAGAACACTCTACCTCCACATATGTCAAAACATGCATATTCCGACTTGGAGATTTGTTCATACCTAAAACATTTAATTCTAGGTCTAGCAAAAACAATTTTAAGTTTTAAGATTTTCAATACAAAAAATTGATGTAAAGTTAAATTTTTTTGATCTTGAGAGTTTTAGTTTTCTCCTGTTATAGATAATTATTAATGTTATTATCTTTACGTCGGAGTTCATTCGGTTCTTAAAAACATCTTAAAGTCTAATCTGGGTTTAATTTTGAGTTTCTTTAGGGAACCTGTCATTAGTCTTTTACTACTTCTTTGAATAAAATTAATTTACTCATAAAAGCTAAAAGTCGCGAAAATGTCTTTGTTTAAGTTTAGAGTTTTACAGAGAAGGTGAATATTAACTTCTTTTCTTTGAAACTCAGTTCCGTTTCTAAATTTATGATTTTTTACATTGAAATTATTTTCGGATTAATCAAAATGGTAAAAGTTTTTTTACACAAATGTATGAAAATCGACTTTGAATAACACCAGTTGACGATCACATAGAAAATCCATTTTGAATTGTCCTTGAAATATGCTTCCTGCATACAAATGTATTTATTGATGTATAGTTAGGAAATAGAACATTTTCTGCGCTTCAAGACACACGATCAAAGATTTGTGCATTTTTTTCTAATGAATTTAAATAAGATTTCCGATCCGTGTATTACCTATCTATCCCGATTCCCAGAGGCATTTTCCTTCATTAGCATTTTGTAGCGCTTCATGGAATATTTATACAAAGAAATTAAATTATTGTAAAAATTCTTACACTAAACCACTTTGAGGAAAAACCCATTTGCATATCCCACTCTCATGTAATGTATTTTCTAATGCATAACATGTATGTATATGTGGTTGCCAAATAATTTTTTATGAATTTATTTATGTTTCATTTATGAAACACCGAAGCGTGACCAAAAACCTACACTAAATTAATGATAAATATATTTTACACTGTTTGTTATCACCGATATTCACCCACTGTAATATTCAATCAAAGGCATATGCTTTTTCGATGTGTCAATATTTGTCAAAAACTTGTCTTTCTATGTCGATTTTTTTATTATTGCTTTCTGAATAATAGATAATATGGAAAAAGACAGAAAAGAGTTCTTGTGTTTATTAACGAACTTTTAATTAAAAGCAGCAGGTGGAAGGAAATTTTCTTAAAATTTTATTTACATTTCGTTTTAAGTCGGTGTGAAAATCTTTTATAATTAAGGATACCTGAGCTTTGCCGCATTAAGACAGGCGAACGCGCATTTGGTTGTTTAAATTATTGTCTTACAAGCATTTTACGGATTTTGAATTTTTTATGTTTATTTTATTGTTTTTCGCTTATTATTATTGAAACTCAAACATTTTTAGAGCAATTAAGCCAGGAAAATATTATATACTAAGCGACACTAGAAATGTAACAACAGGATGCATGATTGTACGCTTGGATATGCTAAATATGTATACATCAGGGATTTTTTGAGTAGTTAGCTACACGTCTGCTGTGTTCTACGTACAGTTGGAGACAAAATACTTTGGTCGTCAATGTCACATGAGTGACACTAAATGGTAAAGCATGCTTTAGGACTGTTAACCTTATTTTTAGTTACTGTCAAGTTCTATGTACATATTTTTGATAGGAAAATATAATAGCTGTCATTAATTTGAAATTGTCATTTATTTTAACGTTAAAGTTTGAATTACATTAAAGTGTCAGAAAAGTGACGACCAAAGTATTTTGTCTCCAACTGTATACAGGGTGCGCTAGAACTTACGCCCTAGAGAAAAATGCCATACAAGGTAAGATACCAGAAACATGGAAATAATGTTAAAAAAAATATTTATAAAAATATCGAAATTATTTATTTCTGTTGGAAAAATAATTTTCCAATTTTTTTTGCTACAGGCTATTAGAAGAGGAAACAAGGAAGCTGTGTCCTAAATTGTAACTCTGTTCAATGTGATGTGTAGCTTTTATTGGCAAAATTTTTGTAACTTATTTTATAATAATAGTAAAAAACATATACAAGATCATCAGTATCATTAAATAAATATGAAAAAATGTCAAATGTCAAAAAATAAATGTTAAAATTTTCTGAGAGATAGAATTTTTTAAACATTTTTCCTTGTTTCTGGTATCTTATCTTTCTTGAAATTTTTCTCTGGGGCGCGAGTTTTAGCGCACCCTGTATAATTCTAATTTTGTGTCACGAACATTACGAGAACTGTTGAAAAACTTTTCCTGCCTGAAAGAAGGGCATTTACAAAAATTAACAAATATATTATTTTTTAAAGTGTATAGTGATTTCTAGTAGATCTAGGTACTGAAAGTCAGACGAATATGACGTGTGTTTTTATAAAAATGTAGGTACAGAGGGCTGTACGTTTAATTAAAAGAAACTACTTTATTTATTGTTTCTATTAAATATACAGGGTGTTACGTTTTTATTGTTACAAATTTAAACAGGTGATAGGATATTCAATTCTAAGACAAAAGTTTCCTCTAAACATGTATCGAAAAATGCTTGGTTAGGGAGCTACACCCCCTAGAAAGGGCCTATTATGTTTTTCTTAATATTTTAGAAACCATTTAAGATAAAATTACAAAATTTGGTTTAGACGATAACCTTTATACACTTAAACGAACTCGAACATCAAATGTCAAAATTTTTAATCAGGGGCGTACGAAACTGGGGGAGTTTAAGGTAAAAAAATACCCTATTTATTTTGGCTTTAGTTTCTGGGTACTTTCAGCAACAAAATCTTAAGTTCGATAGTTTATCACAGAAAACTCTCTCTCGTGTCGATACGACTTATTGTTTTTGAATAAAATTAATTTAAAATTTATGTTACACACCAATACAACATTCAAATAAATCAGAATTTACAGAATAATAAAAGCAAGAAATTCATATTTTTTAATCAACCTCTACTAATTAACATTACATTACAGTAATAATAATAACATTAATTAAATGAATTTGCCTAAATCTAAAGGAGTTGTTCAAAGTGACCACCATTTTGGTCAATGCATAACTAAAGAAACTAAAGCCAAAATAGACAGGTTATTTTTTACCCTAAACCCCACTAGTTTCGGACGCCTCTGATTAAAAATTTCGACATTTGATGTTTGAATTCGTTTAGGTGTATAAAGGTTATCATCTGTACCAAATTTTGTAATCTTATCTTAAATGGTTTCTAAAATATTAGCAAAAACCTATTAGCCCCTTTTCAGGGGGTGTAGCTCCCTAACCAAGCATTTTTCGATACATGTTTATAGAAAACTTTTGTCTTAGAATTGAATATCCTATCACCTGTTTAAATTTGTAACAATAAAAACGGTACACCCTGTATAAATATTTTCCAAATTTATAAACATTTTGAAAAAATTATTTGTACTATTTTTTTGGTAAAAATTAATTTATGCTGCATTTTTTACATCCCTCAGTTTATTTACATGTTATTCTCTGAGGGCAATTGAGTAATAAATTTTCCAATAAAGTGTAAAAAGCACTTTTCATAATTTTCCTATTGGAACATCCTCAATAGTGTTTGTTAATTAAAAACATATAAAAAGGCTAGTATTCTTTACTTCTAATTAAAAATTTATTTTTTAAACGGTTCAGCTAATTTAAAAGTACCGGAAATAACAGAAGCTCGACTAGAAATTTGCATATAAATTCCTCCCCGTCTCTGCTTAATTTCGTTCTGGTTAATCTTATTCTCACAAAAAGTGAAATTTCGCCCAAGCAGCGTCTTCTAATCTCGATAATAATTAAGTAAAAATGGGGACATGCCTTATTGAACGCGTTGTTATAAATCTATCTGTGCAATGATTTAAATTGGTGTAATAATTGCGTTGCTGTTAGACAATATTTTAGGAGTGTAAAATGGCATTGCAGACGCGGAATGCCGCCCCCAATGCAGTGGGGCGCCGGCGTGCGTCCTCAAACTCCTATAAAAGCTCACACAGGAGACGTCAAACAGTCTCAACGCAACATATCCAAAGTTTCAACAGGTGATCTTCCAAGTGCTACCGGCACACTTACAGTTCGTAAGTCTTTGATTTATTTTTAATAAAAAAAATGAGACGAAAATTGTTTTTCGAAGAAAATCCAAAGTCGATCTTTCATTTCCTTGTGGGGATGAAATAATATTTTCTTGAGACTTTGTTTACTTTGAATTTAGATTTTACGTGAAATTTTTTGAAGTATTGTAAAAGTTTGGTTTGTTTATTTATGTGTTTGAAGTGAAGCGTGATTTTGCTTTTGATGTTTAGTAAATAAATACACATACAAAAGAATAATTAAAAAGCTACATTTTGGTTTAAAAATTCTAAACGAGTCAAGATAACAATCAACACGTATGGAAAGGATGGGTTTAATGGGGTTAACCGAACGTGAGCTGAATTCATCAAAATCTGATTACATTATTTTCTGCAATTAAGTCTGATAAAACACCATAATGTGTTTCACAAAACTGGAAAAACGCCGTATTTTGTTACCAATCCAAGCCCTTGAATGTCGTTTAAAATCTCATTATCGCTTAACAAGCAAATTATCTTTCTGGTTATATTCAAACAGATTATAAGGAATAAGAGGAAATTATAAACCAAGATAAATAATTTCGACAATGGATATTAATACAAAGTTATAATTAATATTTGAAGAACATCATTACTTCAGTTTTAGGAAAAGATTGAATGTAACGCAATCCGTTGTTAATTTAATTTTGGTGTTTCTGTGGAAACTTTTGACCGAATTGGATATATCGAAATTCGCTTGGTTTCCATTATTAGCAAAATATGTTATGTTGTTGTTGTTGCATAAACAATAATATTATTGAGAATTTTTTTATTTAATGAATAATAATGATGGGATCCGATTGCAGATAAATTAAAACTGATTAATATACTCGTACCTACACTATTATAATGATTTTAATCCGGTGTGACATTTGTTGTATTAGAAAATGGATTATGGTGGATAAAGTAAGATGTCCAAAGACCGCCAAACACAACCACAATTTAAGTGCTTGAAATATTTTTTCAACATATTTTTTAATATTCAATTCATTTTTATTTAATTTATTTATTGAAATTGACGGAAAAGCACTTCTAATTTAAAATAGACTATTTATTTAAAAAAAAAAAAAACAATTTTTAAACATTACGAATTTTGTGAAGATATTTCTTTCTTCAAATCAGTAATGAATCATTTAGGGCCGATTTAAAACACAAATGAGAATAAAGCTTTGTTACTACTAACCACTTTTATTAAAAATTGTAAGATTTATTTAACAAACAATGATGTTTCAAATCCACAAAAGTTTGAGAAGAGTTTTAAAATAGTTTATTAATACTATATTATCGAAATTTTATTTGAAAATTACTTACTTCTTTTGAAAATTAGTGAGATCTTGAAAGTCGCAGAATTAAAAAGTAGTTATATTAATAATTACAGTTTTTTTACAGCTAACATAATTACAAAAAATATGGTCAGAATTAAAAAAATTAATTAAATACACAACATATTCATTTCTTTGCTTCAATATTTTTTTAACAATTTTGTTGTTTTTATTTGGATTAAAATTAATATATAGTTTTGAAAACTGTACTAGCAATTAAATTTCTGATTAGGGTGAAATTAAGTTCAACTTTGAATAATACACAAAAATTATTTTTTTTTTTAATATTGTTCTATGTTGACAATTTAACAATAAGGTTACAATTAAGTTGAGAATTCTCAACAGTTGTTACAGAAAACTGAATTAACTGATTCTTTAAAAAATAGAGAATTTGGATTATCATTAAACTCTATTCTTTTGTAAAGACTGGGTGATGACTTCACATTTTTTTAAATGTGTTTTTTTTTTTTAAATAGTACAAATTATGAGTAAGACTATAAATCTTTAAGAAAAAATAGTTGCCAAAATTTAAACAATTGGTTTTTGAAAGTTTGTTAAACCATTATTAATTATGGAAAGTGGAGTAAAATTTACTTCAAAGATAAGCACATAGAACGATAATATAATTGTTTGTTTCTTACACAAATGTTAATCAAAATCTTGAATTCCTTATATTCAATCACGATTAAAATTGGTGCAAAAATTAAAGTGATTCAAACATATACATAATTAATTTATTTAAAAATTAATACATTATAAAAACTATTTTAGAAAAAAACTTTTTTTTAAACTAGACAATTATACATATTTGTTTCATCTTAATAATTTGCACTGTAAATCGTCTTTGTCAAGCTCTCGTCTTGATTAGTTGATGCAGTGTTGCGGTTCTTTCTATATATTTACACATATAAGATTACAAATTTCCGCGCGACTCGTTTTTCTTTGATCCGACGAGCTAATTATGCACATTATCTCTCCTTAAGGGATGTAACTTAGTTTTGATAACAAATTAACTTGTAATTAGTGTCGTGAACGCGTCGAAATGAGATTTAGTAGGGTGTCGTCCTTTGTAACCTCTTCACTGGTTGATTTTTGCAGGAAGTTTGCAGGATTATGAGGTGGTCAACTTTGTGGTGGTTTGCTGCGGTCCTCGCCGTCGCCTTGCTGCAGGAAAACGGGGGCGAAGCCGCCCGTACTTCCCGCAGCAACGATATGTTGGAACGATTGATCAAATTGGACGAAATGTACTCCGCAGTGGCAAGGCCTAGGTAATAAAGGAAGGGTTTCCTTGCATGGCTTTCTGTGTTAAATTGGTCAGAGTTTTCTGCATACAAGTGGGAGTTGAGTTTCTTCTTGCTTTAATCGTACGAAATTAAATTTTTACTTTGGTGAAATTTTACACGAGAGTGATGATTAACTCGGAGTTTTCTTTTGATTTATGTGTTTTGTGCCATTTGCAAAGTAAAGTTTTGATTAGACACGACGTTATTTAGGTCTCTATCGACGTCATAATTTATGTTCAATTAAAATTTTTGCTCGTTACGTAGCGAATTGGAGAGTTTGTATCCGATTTATAAAATGTGTAATTCTTGAAATCGTTTTGTGCTACATTTAAAATTTAATTTATCACAGGAATAAAAGCATTAGCGTCTCATCAAACTGCAACTTTTTAAACTTATTTAATGAAATTAAAGAATTCATGAATCAATTTTTTTCTAAACGGAATTAAACTTCGCCGTTACTGCTCTAACAATTTTTTTACTAACTTTATTTCATCACTAGTAAGCGTCTCATTATTTTAACACAAAATTAATTAAAATGTCAAAAGACTCGTCAAGCATTTAAAAATTTAATCGAAAGTTTTTGTGGAAGTAGGTTTATGTTAGGAGCTGTCCAATCCGATTTAGACTTTTTGTTATTTTTAATTTTTTCCCACTGTTGGTCAGATTTATTAAACTTGACCCAACCCTAATCAATCCCATTTTTTGTAGAATTTCGAGTAGAAATGTGCTTTATTTAAGTGTGTATTTAATTAGTTTTAGCTGTATAGACGACTTTTTGAAATAAAATCGATAATAAAAAATCAGACGCTTATATTTGCACCTCATAAACTACAGCGATCATATGCCTCGTAAACTCCCTTATTTATTCCCTGTAGTAAAATTTTATGAGGTACAAAATTTTGCTTTAATAGATAAATTTATTTCACTGTATTGTTTACTATCTGTAATCAGTCTGATTTACATCGCTCAAATGGTACGTATCACGTGACATACGTGACTTACTTCGAATAGATCATTGGTCCACGTAGAAGTTTGTGATTTGTCTGCACGCTGGGTGTTTTTTCTCATTTGTGGGTGCATGTGGTGTAAGGTACGTGCGAGCTAACGCGTGCTGGTGGTAGGTAGTGTGCGCAGCGGACCGACCCAAGTTGATAGTATGGGTCCCAAGGTACAGCGTGCCATCAATATGTTAAGACTTCAGCATCTCGACCAACTCTACGCCGACCGAGCTCGTCCCAGGTGAGCCACTCGCTCAAACTTACCCTACATTTCTTCTCCGAGTACTAAGATCTTTCAGATTTAAGGCATCAATCAAAATTAAATAAAATACAACTAAACTTTTAGAATAGAAATTTAAAATGTATTTGTTTATATCTTAATTAATTAAAACAAGTAGAAAACAATTTTTATTTTTTTTTATTATTATTATTTTAAAATTTAACTGATATCTTTTCTCTTTAGAAAACTTTTAAAACATTGGTCATCTAAAAGTGTTTCTTTCGTAATCACAGTCATTTATTAATTTGTTTAATTTTACATTTACCTATTTATTTTGAAAATGACTCTTAAACTGTAAAATAGTTTACTTTTCTGTAATGTTTATTCTGTTTTTCAGAAATATTTCTATTTTTCAGGTATTAATCGGTAAAATTCCGATCTGGGACACGCTGTACTTTCTCAAGTGTATACAGACAAAATTTGATAATGATTTTTCCGCTTAATGTGGCCGTTAATAAAACAAGGACTGCTCGTAAACATCGCCGAATGTTGTTTGTTTTGTTATGGATTTGGTTTACGAGCCACTTATCTATGAATATGGCAAAAGTCTGTTGTTTTCTAAATAATTGTTTTGCTTTTGTTCTTCGTTAAAGACAAAATAGGAATTTTATGTTGATTAAATTTCTAATTATTTCTTGTTATTATTAATTAATTATATTTTGATTTTTAAATTTTATTATAATTTCACGTATATAATGTTATACTTACTTATTTTTAGATTTTTTTGACTAATTACGACTTTCTTATTAATTNTCTTATTAATTACCAAATATCCAAAAAAAAAATGCAATTCAATATTTTTTTTATTTACTGTTACAAATAAATTAAGTATATTCATTTTACTAGAATTAAATATCGAACTAAAATCGTTCAGAACTGTCTAACAATACAGGATGAGTTATATGTACATATGTAATAAAGACTCATTGTCAGATACCACTATGCGTACTGTTTGAAATTTTTCAAAGATAAATATAGATATCTGTGATAGTTCTGACAGTTTTTTTATAAGTTATAAATAAATTTATAAATTCATAAATCTATACCTTTGAGGGTACAGATTCAGCTACAGCATTTTTATGGCATTTTTCCTAATAAAAGTCATGTCAGTTTTTTGATCGTTTCAGTACATTTTGAATTCAAGGAAAAAAAGTGAAATTGATGACACTGTCAAATTTAATGTATGGCGTATCAACAACTACTTTGATTTAAATTTAATGATCTAAATTTTTTTAAACATATAAAAGCCAATTTGTTTGTGAGAATGTATTTTGGGTTGCGACTTAAAATCGCTTATGGTCTTTATTATAAATGACTCACCACGCTGTTTTACCAAAAACTGTTTAATGATATTTTTAACTTGTTGGTTAAAACTAGTATTTAAAGTATTTGTATTTAAACTAGTTAAAAATAAACAAAAAAGTTTTATATCCCGGCGCATCCGCCATTTATATTATTGTAAAACTTGTTTTTTTAAGGCCAACTCTATTTCTGAGAAAAAATATTTAGTTAACTGTATGATGATGAACTGTATGATATTTAGTTTAGCTGTATGAGATTTTTTAGGTTTATTACTTGATTACGAAGCACTATTTAGAAGGACAAGAAAAATGTTTATCATTAATTTTTATCATTAACCTGATTTCGTGGAAGATGGACAAAGGGGAATAAAAACCATTAAATTTGTCACGACGTTTCGATCTTCTTCGCGACGAATTTAATGGTTCTTATTCCTTTTTGTCCTGTATACCATCTTCCACGAAATCAGGTTAACATATTTCAAGGACAAGAAATACAAAATGGTATATTTTTATCATTTAATAAAATTTAATGAATAAAATAAACCATATAAAATCAGTTCAATTTGCACTAGGCAAAGGTTTTGTAGTTTATTTACATAATACTGACTTTGATGACTGAACGAAATGTCTAATTTCGAAAATTATCAAAAAATCAAAACTTTAAATGCTTTTATTAATATTTTATTTTATACATTTTATAACAAATAAATTGCATTTTGATAATTTTTTCTTTTTAGTTAAAAAGTATTTTTATTTATAATTAAATTATTTAAGACGAGCAATATTTAGTCTGCAATTTGCTTCATTTATTTTTCAATGTAATTAATCTATCGGGCGACAGATGACACTAGTTGTCTTAAGTAGACTTAATTTAAGCTTGGCTGGATTAGTAGATCTTGTGTGATCGTTTCCGGTAAGTACTTGGAATGAAATAACATGAAATCTTAATAAAGCCGTATTTTCCTACCGATTAAGCTTAAAAATTCAGCAATACTGGAAAAATGAGCCGTAAAAGATTATTTTTAGGGATTGCAATATAAAACCGAAACAAGCTTCAGGGCAACAAACACAAACTTTATTATTTCTCCGATTACAATTGGGAAATTTGACCTACATTGTATTAAATTTTAATAACGATAAAGTCGCGATATTTTGTTTTGTGCGATTTTTATGGCTTTTAATTACGTACCTATAGACTGGAAGAAAATTTTATTACTGGTAGTGTGTTTATCTATTCCGGGTTCTATTTTGATTCATTTCGATTCTATTATTTTAGGAAATATTCGTTTAATGCCAGCGTTTTTCAGTCTCTTGAGTGAAACTCTTCGGGATTTAATAATCCGTGGGTAAAATTGAAAAAGCACCATTTGACCTATTGTTTCGTAGATTTCAGTTTCGCGTGTCAAAACTTCCTGAAAGAAAATAACGTCGTGGGCGATTTCTCATCCATGTATGCAGAAAATAAATATTTAACAGTTTATCGCAAGCATAAGCGGAAATTAATAGCCGGCTTTTTTCTCGTCTGGTGTATTGTGTTGAAAAGCCAATAAATTGTAAAGCAAGCTTGATATTTCGGGTTGAGTGCATTTAATACGTTTTCTAAGGGGTAAGAAGCAACAGGTAATGATCTGTTTGATTTCAGGTTCGGTAAGCGCATGGACGACTCCAATCCTCCACCGATGGAATACGAAGGTCAGGTAAGAGGATTGGCTTGGTTGGTTTTTGTTGAACTTTGACACGATTAAGCAAACGATGATAGGAGCATTGTTTCAGAGCAAATGTTTACTTTAGGGCAAAAAAATTTGAAATGGTCTTTATTTTTACACTCGGAAATAGATTTCGTTTCATTGTAAATTTATTATTCGATGAGTGGGTGTTTGAGGGTTTTTTTGATAGATCTTATTGTAAAAATGTAATATTATTGACTTAAAAAGAACGGAAAGTTTTGCAAACTTTGCAAAATGTATATTTTAGGTGAAACAGATCAAAGCTAAAGGAAAAGTTTTTTAAACCAATATTCAAACTTTGTAAAATATGGAAGAAGTTTTTCTTTTAAAGGTAATTCGATTGTTTTTTACTTTAGTTGTAATTTATTAATAGACACAATTATCATTTATTTATTTCCCTTGAAGTGTTAACTCTTATTAATTACATAGAAAAAATCTAATAAATTTATCAATTTGACGTAATCTTTGAAACTAATTTATTACATATGAAACATCTTCTGAAACCTCCCATGTATCAAGTAAAAAGACAAAGAATCTTGAAAGTAAATAATTAATTATTTGTAATAAAATACTTGAAGAATCTAGGTTAAGTGTATAATAATTAACACTTCTATTGCTCCTAGGAATGTTAAAATAGGCAAATAAATACCAATATTTGAAATTTGAAGCTGTCTGAAAAGCTACAAGGCAAATATTTATGCTCTAATACAAAACTCGCTTCATCCTATTTGTACTTTACATTTCACCCCACGTCTTTCAATAACCGAATTCGGGCTCTTTTCCTAAGTTTATTCGGGAAGAAAATCGTTTTACAAACACAAAACAAAATTTTGACTTTGCTCCAACTACAAGTTACAAAAATTTCATTTCCGAGGGTGCAATACATTAAAAGCCCGATTTACACTGCCGCACATGAATAAGTCATGATGAGGTATTAATATTAGCCTGAAGTTTCCAACACCCAACTTGTTGTGGCTTAAACTTCAATCCAAGTCCTCCAATCGGGTTTTTCTCACGCACTTGTTGTATGACTTTCCCTTTTTCGTTAAGTAGAGTAAAAACAATAACCTTGAAAGTAACAGCGGTTTTATATCGCGGAAAGAAAAGAATTGGTTCGCATCCTAAAGCTAACTCTCGCTAGTCAGCTGAGAATAGAAAGTATTGGCCTACCGCAATATTTTATGGTAATTATTGTTTCTTGGATTATTTACGCACAGCGTATTAAAACCGACATTTCATATTCAAATCAGTTTGTGTGTATTTTCACCGGGTGGTTATTATTTCAAAAAAGAATAAACATTTCACATGTTTAGTTAAATTCATTCATGTTTTGGGATAAATGTAGAAGAAACACACGGCTTTACAATGACAACCATCAAACACAGAAGTACACACATGTTATTCCACCTCTTTATTTGGGCTTATAAAGACGTCAGTTACATTTATTACAAACTTGTAATTGATTTAAATGGCAGTAATTTAAAGACGTCAGTACCAGCAATCAGGGCTTTCCCAGTTATTTTATTTTTAATTCTAATAATAATCATTAATGTTATTGGTTAATTGGATTTAGTTGCACCTATTCACTTAAAAAACACTTACATGTTTTATTTCATATACTTGTTTTTTTATTGATGATGTCGCATAATTAATAAATAAACCTGTTTTTGTAATTTTGTAGTACAACATTTTTGTAGTGTTTACAAACCTGAAAACATGACAAATCTTTCAAAGTGGATTTTTTATATTTACTAAACGAAGGAAACTGATTTAAGGGAAATTCTATACTTGACAAAAAGTTGGTAGAGATTTCTTCAACTTGTGGTTCTTTAAGTCAGGCAATTTTTTTTTAATTCTACTTCATAAGGAAATTGTAACATTTAATTCTATTAATCGATTTAAAATAATGTTTGAAATAAACTAAAATTAATATTACAAGCTTGTTTTTTCTAACACGCATCTCGTTTAATAGGAGTCTAATTTAACTAGAAAAAAAATCGTAATAATATGAAAGTTAATATTTGCATCAGCATCTGGAACAGTGCTGGTATTTAAATTTCAAGTTGTCTTTCGCGCTAATAAATAGTGTCCATTTAACACTTTTTTTAATTATTTTCGCTTAGGTTAATAACAGTCGACGAATTTATTTGTGTTCTTTTGTACCATCCGTCGAGTCTTTTAATAAACAAAGCGAATGCGTCGTGCATAAAACGGTCGTTAATTATTGCGGAGAGCTTTTGGTGTTTTAACAAGAATGTTCTGTTACAGTATCAGAGTGAGGACGTCGGCGACTGGTTGCCCGTTCGAAGATGAGGAATTCTCTATCGTAGATTTCGCCCCTTTTCCAGCCCCCAGCCCCGTAGACAATCACACTGACTTCTTATCATCAAAGCTCATGCAGTTAACCTGTTACTTATTGTTGCTAATAATTATATAGTCCAAATAAAGCATGTTCGTGACCCATTCTACACTGTGTTTTTATTTTCTTAATCCTTGATCTGTGACAAGGTTTAGAAAAATTACAGGTGAAATTTGCGTTGGGAAATATAAACAAGACTTTGCACGGTTTCGAGTTGTGTAAATACGAGGCTATTTCAGAGCCAAATAACCAAAGTTTTGGGAATTACTCGCAGCGATTTAATGGTTTTAATGCAAGTTTTGACGTTTTTAAAACCGAAGGGACGCCTACCTTGAATTAAATAATAAAACAATCTTTGGAACAATCAGACCTCGAGCTAATTATAGTGGAAGAGTCCGCTCTAGGCCTCACTTATAATTTATTAATCTCGTTGTTAGTCATACGTAACACTGACACACCCATATAAAAAAAAAACTAATTTTCCGTGACAAAAATTTTATCAAGTATACAAAAATGGCTTTTCGTGGTTGTGTCTACATCCAATTTTCGTCGGAAATATATCAATAGGGTGATTTCCCGTGAAGCGCTTCCTAAAATGAAGAATTATAATATTTATAGTTGAAATAAGGGGCGCTTTTGATTGCACCATAATAGCTTTTTCGGGCTAATTACGGATGAAAAGTTCAAAGAGTAGTGTTTTTTGCCTCTCTTGCTATTCCGCAAAGGAAATTAACTGTGTTTTTCATAGATTGCATCTCTCAAAAAGTGGCAGGGTGTGCAGGACTTTATCTTTGTTTCATTGCAAGAATTTTAAACGGTTTGAGGGCCATAAATTATTTAATAGGAGTTGGGCGAGTTTTAACTTCGGTAAAAGCACTTTAACTCGAATTATAATGCGAAAGTAATTTATGGAAATTAGGGAAATTATAAGTTGCAACAATAGGGAATAAACAAGATATCCTATTTTCCTCTTAATTTAAAAACAGGGTGATATTATTAAGTGTTTTAATGTCAGAAGATATTTGTCGTGATAAAATACCAGTTGGTTACAATATCTCTCTAACAAGTATCCAATTATTATTAACTCCAAATAAGATGAAGACAAGTTTAAAAGGATTGTTAAACTTGTTCAAGGATTAGCATCACCACAACTTTATCGAACACAGGGTAACAAGATAAGTCTCATCGCAACAATTAAAAAAAACTTGGAATAATCCACCCTCGCATGAGTGGGGTAGTTCGATCCAAACTACGGATGGCATAATCATACAATCCTCCTTACAATTTTGCCACCAGAGACAAACTCTTGTCCTACTTACAATTTTTTTCGATTAGTATTCAGTTAATTTCGTGGTTTTGCTCAAATCCGAGTGAAAGATTAGATCTGAAACTTTCGTCTAGTGAAACTTGAAGACTTCTTCAATCACATGCACAATTCGCCGCCACCTTGCCTGACCAACTTCTTCCGTTGAATAAATTGTAGCGATGTCTATCATTTTACGCTAATTATCTTCAATCAAATAAACGTTTCGCCCAATAAGAGATTTAATTACCGCTTCATGACTACGTGAAAATGAAACGTGTTATAGGTTTTTACTTTTTAGTGAAAGTTTATGTAAAGTAAACAATCCGAAACACATTTCAAACTTTTTGGATAGGCTCTCCAATTTCTCAAAGGAAAGTTTAAAATAGGAGAATATAGGATCGAGTAGCCCTTAGCTTGTTATTAGCGTAATTACTGCAATCGGGATAAAATTGCAGGAACTGCGTAATTTTGGCTAGTCTTAAAAAATAAGAGCTCGAACGTTGTTAAATCTGTTATTAAACCATAAAAAGTTTAAATTATACCGATTTTCAGGTCAAAATACGCTAAAAGTGGACAAATATTGATTGATAACTCGTGTTTCTATTTACGAGTATATTTTTGTAATTCATAAAGAATGTTAAAACTTCTCGTCAATTTTTACTATTTTTGCGTATTACGGTACAACTCCTAGATTATTACTTTATAATTAAATACGTTCTGAAATTTTCAAAATTATTATTGAAAATTATATCAATAGGATTTTTATCTACATATAGTCTACGATACATTATTTTAGTACTTCTCGTGATTTTTCTTCAAAAAAAATAGTTATTTATTTTATCCACGCAAAGGAACGAAGTTCGAGCGTTTATTTAAGTGGATAAAATACATAGTAAGACCCGAATGCAATACAATATTTTATCCACAAGCAGACAATAAGTATAAATTAAATCAATAGTTTGGAAAAATTTTATTTTTTATTCTGAAGTGAGCAGGGCTAATCACGAGACGGTTGCTATTTATTTTTCATAAGACCCGTGTGTTTTATTGATATCATAAAACGTCTCCTAGTAGTGGTATTATGACCTAACAATAGACTGGTTGTGGCTAAAGGATTTTTTAGGGTTTAATTTGCGTTCTTTATGAACGTTGATAACTTCAAGCAATTAGAAAAAATCCAAGTGAGCTCCCTGGATTTGTTTGAAATGCATGTTGCATGATTTATTCAGATGCTTGAATTTTTTCACCAAAATTTTTTGCGAGTAATAGAAGCTTCAAAGTTTTGTCACTCGTTATGTTTTTTTACTTGAAATATGTCTGACTTTTAACAATTTGTCTAACAGTTTTTTTGGGTTATAGAAAAATACAATTTTTTTTAGATTATGAATTTGTAACTGATTTTTTTAGGAAAATTTTTACTGAAAAACTGAGTCATAAATAATTCCATCAAAGTGTACAATTTTATTTCTCTACTAGAGATTTGAGAAAAAAGGTGTATTTTTGAGGAAATTGAATAATCTAAAGACAGAATATCAATTCAAAGCATTTAACTAGACAAACAAGAATAAAAATTATCTAGATTTTTATTTCTAAAGTGTTGATTATAATTGGAAGTGATTGATCACTCTGTACATACATTTTTTTAACTTTACATTTAAAACGGGGTATACAAAACCATATTTTGGTGTTTTTCTATAGATTTTTAGGGCTAAAGTGTTTTTTGTTGTTGTGGGTGTTTCTAAAATCCGTATTGGGTTCTAGCCCGGCGCCGGCCATCTGTGACCCTTTCTATCTGGGTTAGGTTAGGTGAGGAGGCCTAGTTATACCTGCGACCACTTTCATTGTTCCAATCACTCTCTCCGCTGCAGAGATACGGGGTGCACTGGACATGTTAGTGCTATGGGCTTCGTCTTGCTGCTGCTCCTCCTGATGTGTGGGTCAATGTCAGCGTTCCAAGGTAGCCCCACAACCTGATCTACCTCTTGGTTAAGTGTGTGTGGTTTTGTGCAGATTGTGGAAGGAGCGTCAGGAGATCCAGACAGCCCCGCGTCGGCGCCCTTGGACGCATCATCCACGGCAAGCAGAGTGTCAGAGGTGCGTGGCCGTGGCAGGTAAGGGCTTTAATCAACACACTTGCGTAATGTGGAAAAAAATTTCAACTGGGTCATTACCATTTCCTGTAAACATCGACGCAAATAATTTATGGACTTGTATTATTCAACGGCGACGACAGACTTATTACGATTTCAACAGGAATTTTTCCGGAAGCCTGACTTTTTTCTCAACGAACAAAATATTTCTGGCCTTTGGTTTCTTAAATATTTAGTGTTTGTTTCGAATTGTTTGTGAAAATTGGTCAATCACAGAGTGTCGCAGCTTAAACTTATCAGGACGATATCTATGCCTCTAATACATGAAATTTAATCGAATCTAAAAAATTCCATATTGTTAGTTCATTAATTACGAAAACATTAAACTCTAGGCTGGCACACGCTGTATACTTCAGTAAGTTTTCCAATTTAATTGACCAAATATTTAAATTAATAACTTTTGCAATAACACTTGCAAAATGAGTTTTCAAATTTTTCTTTAAAGACAGATTAAAAGTAATTGTTGCTTGTCTTTTAGAGTAGCAAATATATACTTTCTTGTTTGTTTGACACTTAGGGTCATTACGCCTCTTAATGGAGACATACATTTGAAATAGCGCATAATAGCAACAAGAATTTCTTCCACATGTAGAAAACCTGTCATAATAGAAGATTTATGTTAGTGCCAATCTCCGTCATGTCAATACATTCTTTATTAGGGAAGGTTTCAACGAAACGTCTGCTTCTGTTATTACTTTGATTGGATTTTATTTCGTAGAATTATTTATTAATTAGTGACATTAAAGTCGCTTGTAATTTAAAAATTAATTTTTTTGATTAGGTCTCTCTACAGTTGTTGCACCCCCAATTCGGGTTTCTTGGTCACTGGTGTGGGGGTGTGTTGATATCCTCCGAATGGTTGTTAACGGCGGCTCATTGCGTCAACAAGTGAGTACTAGTTTCAGTTTTGTTGATTGCTTCCGGGCAATGGATAACCGGATAAGTTTATGTAATAGTTCAGCATCACTTTCAATACAACCTGTTTCGGTTTGTTTCGTAAAATGAAAACGAGTTATCCAACCCATCGAATATTTGAGAGTTTTCTTTCAAGCGATGCCACCGCTTTGCTTCTAATTGGATTATGAATAAATTATCGGAGAGAAACGTAATGACAATTCAGTGTGTTGTTACAACGCATACGAAATTGGAGTCATTATACACTTTTCTTTGTTGGTATTACTAACCTATTAAATTAAGCTTTCTATTAAGATTTAACCGACTTTTTATAATCTTGACTGGTTTTACGCAAAATATTTTATTAAACACGAAAGAAAGTCAATACAATTAATAGTGTTTGGCGATTGAACGGTAATTCACTGACGCTTATTTTTCAATAAAATTCCAAGAAATAATTAACATAAATTATAAATGTTCTTTTAACGACATAATTTGATGTCTTACGTATGTAATATGAACCGTTCAGTTTAAGGAACTCGTAAAAACAGATAATTTAATTTTAAGTAGTTAATACTAGATAATTAAAGTAAATTATGGACACAAGTTGAGCCTGTCATTATTGTCTTGTGAATTATTGTTATCTAAATTGTTTCTATACAGTAATTACAACTGATGCACAATGAGATAAAAAACTAATGATACGGCCGTTTACAATTACACTTTATTAAAATGTTATAATTTTACATCTCATTAAAAACTTTCGTTTATAGTTTTCCCAATTGGATTAATTTTTAATTAAACCCAAGCTGCTAAACGAATAATAAGTTAATAACATTCGTTAAACACTTTTTAAGCTTCCTCGAAATTACAGTTCCTATTGTAAACTTTCACGTAATTTTTAACGATGAAACAAAGCTCATTGTTTAAAAATTTACAAAAAATAATTAAGTGACAATTTGATCATCAGATACTTGTCCTTATTCTACTTATACTCTACTGAAATTATTGTCAAAATTAACAGTTTACTAATCCTTAAACAGGATTTGTACACAAATGTTTTCACTAATGTTATCTGAACATTAGCTTTGTTAAAAAAAAGAAAAACATTTAAAAGGCAGAATTTAGCAAGTTTGTCATCAGAGCCTAATATACTCTGTATTTGTTTTTAAATTATTGTCTTTTGTTGATAGAGGAAATGTAACAAAATGTCACTATACAGAAACAAATCGCTTGTTGAAATCATTCAAATCATTGAATGAGTTGGCATTAAATGAAATAATCAACAAACGCTTTAAGTAATTTGTAATGAATTGCTGAAATTACAAATCACGAATTTAACATTGTAACAATTATTAGCAACAGCATTTAATTAATCGTTTTAGAATGTGGTTAAACATCGAATTTAAATTTATTTGCCATTTAACTTGCTTTACATTTTTAGAATTGTTTTAATTTAACAAATTAGTTTCCGGTGTTTTTGCCGGATTTGAAGGGAGATGATTTCAGTCGTTAAAGTTTGTTTTTATGTAGAAGGGATTTTATTTGCAATTTTTTACGTAAATGAAAACCTACGCAAAATTTTATTATATTTATGACAAATACTTTCTTGGAATATCTTTTATTTTCATCTACGTCAATACACTTTGAAAAATTCCTTTAAATAACTTATTAGACCCAATGTGCTAATTCGGAATAATAAAAAATGTATTGGAATCTTCTGATAGTGTTCAAATATTGTCTTGCATCAACAATGAGAGAATCAAAACGAAATTGTTTGTCATTATTATGCACAAGTCGTAACACTTGACGTCACTTTTAGCGACTTATTTAACCTTCCTTTGGCTGCCCTTTGGACGGCCGTTTTGGGCGACTGGGACCGCGACGTGGAAGAAAAATCCGAGCAGCGCATTCCAGTCGAAGAAATAATCTTGCACGAACGATTTCACAATTTTCAACACGACATTGGTAAGTAGAACTGTTCCAGTCGGAAGATACGGATATCAGCGATTGTTCGTAGCTCTAATGAAACTCTCACGGCCAGTGAAATTAGCAAGAGATAGCCGCGTTCGAGCTGTTTGCTTGCCTCCCAGTCGATTAGCATATAATCAGACCGATCTGTGTATCGCCACCGGTTGGGGCCGGGATGCCGAAGACGGCATGCTTGCAGGAAAGCTGCTCGAAGCGAGAGTCCCTCTACATGACAATGCCGTCTGCCGGAAAAAGTACGGGCATGCCGTGTCGATCCGGTCGGGGCATATGTGCGCTGGGCATTTGGACGGCTCGAGTGGCACCTGTGTTGTAATCTCCCGGAGGCAAAAACCCGACCCGGACTTAACATAGTTGTTTCAGGGCGATTCCGGGGGGCCGCTCCAGTGCGCCATGAGGGACGGCAGGTGGATGCTAGCAGGGATCACGTCCTTTGGTTCCGGGTGCGCCAAACCTGGATTTCCGGATGTGTACACGCGACTGTCTTATTATCTGCCGTGGATTCAATCAAAAACGCGATTGAAGCAACCTTGACTGACACTGACCTGATCTCAGATGTGATAGTAATTGTTCGTGAAAGTAACAAACTTGTAAATAAAATGTATATAAAAACTTTATTACAAAAGAGTACAAACCGTTCTTTAATAAAACGTTTTCACGCGTTTTTTTTATTTACGCAAATTTGCCTCTTTGAAAGTTGAGGAAAAGTGATAAATTAATTCATCAATAAAAATCTGGAAGGAAATTTAATTAACTGCCAAAATGTGCTGCTGCATCTAATTGCTTACACAATCTAGCTTGCTGTTTAAAAATAAAATAAAAGCAAAAAGTAATTATGAATCTCCGAGTAACAAAAGAGTTACAATGCCACTGAAAATTGTGTTATTTAATTGTTTGTTTATAAAATGACTGGACGGTTAGTTTATTAAGACTTAAAGAAACTGACAAATAATAAAAAAATAATAATTTTTTAGTCGTTTTAATTATGACCTTTGGATTACACAAATAATGGATTTTCGATTTATTTTCAATAAATTTATTCATGTTTTAAGTGATGTTAAACTAATTAATTAACAAGTATTTTAAGTCGTTTGTACAGTAATTTAATTAATTGCTGAAATTACAATAAGTCGAAGACTTAACAATAGAATAATTGCTTTTAAAATCAAATTAATGGTTTTATTAGAATGCGTTTAAAAATAGCATTTACAAGTACAGGAGTACTTGATTTCACTGTAATACCGAAAAGTCAAAAAATTATAAAATATAATATTATGTTTTAACAATAATCATTATAAAATTAAGCTAATTTTAGCATTAAGTTTCGTCGATGTTAATGCTCTTAGCATATTTATAATCATTGCACAAATATATTATAAAACTTTTGAGTTCACCTAAATTTTACATTTGCTTTGACATATTTGCATGCATTTGAAATTAATAGTTAATCTTGGCATGAATTTCTAAAGAATTTTTATGATTCGGTGCAAAAACTATAATAATTGTGCGTAATAGGCATCTGCATACTATGACATTTTCGTTTTTTTAATTTAATAATTTGCATATGAACCAGTTTTTTGTTCTGTCATTTAGGTCGTACAGTTGAGCCATTAACAGCTTTTTCAATGTTTTATACAAGGAAAAAGTGAAATTAGTGCTGACTGTGCAAAGTTCCATAATGTTTTTCGATAATAGCTTTTAAAATATAGCTGCACAGGTGAAAAATTTTTTCGATTGGCGTAATTTTAATTGGCCCAACCCCATTTTTACAAAATTAAAACCTACATTTTTTCTCTTGTATTACTATTCAATGCCATTCCTTGACATTGCAAAGTGACAGGAAAGGTACAAAGATCAAATAAAACGCATCATAATTTTTAAAAAACTTTGTTTTAAAAAATCGTCAAAACCATTCTTAAATAACAAAAATACCTAAAAAACTAATAACTCTCACGCAGTATGTACAAATATAAATAATTTCAGTCTCTAAAACGTCACAGACGTTAATAACTACAGGCATTTAATTTATCTACAGTCTAAAATACCCAAAAACATTCACTTTAATATCCTAATATCTGGCTTAAAATAAGGCGAATTTATCGGAATTATAGGAATCGGACTATATTCCCCCCTAAAACTCAACCTCCCGTTCGGTTGTTCTTTCGAGAAGAATAAAGAGAATAAAGCTGAACCTGACATTAAAGCTAAACCACCTAAACCTAACAAATAAATGAGTACTTCTTGTACGACTGGAAGTACGTAAAATAGTACAGTTATCAAAGCATTTATACTCCCAGGGATTTCCCCTAACCGCAGTTGGAGCCAGAACAACGGCAAGTACATTCCGTTAAAAGGCTTCGTTCGGGGATTATACTTTGTTTGGCCAATATCTAGGTTGATCTGTATCCTTAGGCTGGCTTCCATCGCAACACCTAATTCAGGATGTAGCAGGAAGCTTGAGTCATGTTTCTCTTCATCAGGTTTCAAACCTTCAATCTGCTCCAAAAGTAAAGGATCAGAGTTCAGAAAATGCGGTTGCGAAATAGCGATGGGCATGTCGTAATAACAGGGCGAGAGTGACCCCAAACCTTTAGGGAGACAGCCGTCTTTGGGACAATAGCAATGATTGTCGGGATTCTCCTCAGGAGTCGCAAGAAATAGTTTATCTACCTCGAAAGTCATACCTCGGAAACCCGTTTTTGTCTCAGCTTTTCCCTTGTAATTGAAGGGCACAGGCCGGCAAAAGGCCCGTCTGTAGAGTTTCACTGACGTGTTTTCTGGCATATTTGGAGGGAAGACTGTTCCTTCGAAAGCACCTTCGACCATGTTACACCGGGAGTTTTTGTTGTCTTGGTTTTCATCCGTGTAGCCCCAGTGTTTGAGGCCGGGGGAGCCGTTCCAACGATGAATATGATAAACAGACGAACGTTCCTTTTCTGTCAAAAGGGGGCTAGCGAGGCCTAACTCGGGTTGCATATTTAGAGTTACAACATTGGTGGCGTTATCCAAAGCCATGAGTCTATCCAGAATTCCGAAACGATCAAAATTGATCCAGTTTGGAAGGGCTTTGTGGGCTAGAGTCACAAGTTTATCGTCATAGCCCCACAAATATTGCGAAATTGTGACATTGAGGAAGGATTTCGAGTTGAGGGCGTTGCTAATTGTGGAAACGGCAAGGTTTGTGATGAAACCGGAGTCTCGGAGGGATGCCGTGATCCCTAGAAGAGGGATATTGGGGGAGATGATCCAGTCTACGTCTGGGTTTCCGATTGACATGTCAGGTCGGAATTTGAGGTAGCGTTTAGGCTCGAAAGTCATGGTGCCATTAGGGTTAAAAGTTGCGTTTTTATTAAGGAGAATTTCTCTGTAAAAGTTTTGGGTTAGTGCTAGTTGTGTTGGTTTACGAAGAGTCTTACTGGTAGACATAGGGGCCGACTTCTTGAACCTTCATTTTTTCTTTCCCTGATAAAAATTCTTCCGCGTTTGTTACATTGAAGATAAAAGCGTCAATGTACACATTATATGGGGGAACTGACCAGAGTTTGAGGAAGATTGAACCTGGAGCTAAAGTTGCAACCTATCGATTGATTTTTTAATTTTTGGTTTTCTGAATATTTTTTGACTTATTACCTTCTTGATTATAAGCTGTAATGGCTGATAGACAAACATGAGGTACGACGAACAGGTCATAATGGCCCCCAGCATTAGTAATATTAGAAGCCCTGTGAAAAATACTTGGTAAATGTATGCAAAGGAGGAAAAGCAAATTGTTATTGGAAGTCACCTCGAAAAAATCATCTTAGTTCATTGCCATTGGAAGTCAACGTACTTTCTCGATTATATAATGTCTGGTGTTAAGCATTACCATAAAATATTGGTTAAGGTCACTTTTATAATTGGGAAATATGGAATGATTGTAGTGATGTTTGCAAGAATCGGTCAATGCTATTTTGTATTGATTGCAAAGCGAGGTAATGAACAATTTAGTGAAAGACAGCTTGCGGAAATTTTCGGCCTTAAAAATCGGTTTAATTTGAGGATAGTGAACCAGAGATGAACTCTACACTTGAGGTGTCAAGAGATAAACTTTGTCAAATTGGCATGACCCGGAAATGGTAATTTTTGACATTGTTTACATTAGATGGCAAGAAACTGAGTTTCAGGGAATTGCCTTGGCCAAGATACGTTGCAGATACCTTGATATTGACGGTCAGATTGGCAAAGTAACCATGATATATCACTTTATCTTACTTAAAATGCACAGGCTACGTTTCTCTTCAATTTATTTTTTGTTGGTTTCTTTGTTAATTGATATCTGCAACATTCATAAAGATACGCTGGCAATGAATTGAATATTAACCTCAAGAATGTCAACATCATTAATTATTTTCTTTATCAAAGAAAGCCACTAAAAATAACGCCCTTGATTAATTCTTGTTTAGCCGGAAATTTTTCTGAAAAATCGCATCGACACGTGCACATATTAAAAATCTAACAAGGTTTCAAAGTCACACGTGTAGCACTTTGAAACGTGTAAGATAAGTCTTTAGAGCGCTTGAAAATTTTTCAAAATTGATAGAGGACAAATTGTTGTGGCAAAAATCAAACGTGATTAATACAAACGTGTGATACATTTTTATTACATGGGACTACTTAATAGGCTCGGAAGGAAGTTTTTATCTAATGCAGTGGAATATCAATCAAGTGAACAATAGTTCAAGAGCAAAAATTTGGCCGCGCAAAAATTTTGACTCTTAACCATTAAAAAAAAAATGTTTTGGAAAACTGGCAGTGAACCCTTTTTAAAAAAATTGCAAAAGGACTTACGTGAATTAATTTTGTATTTAAATTCCATTTTGGTCACTCACAAATCACAAAACTCCGTATTTAATTCGTGCTACAAAACCGTCGGACTTGAATGGCAAAATAATCCATTGACAAGAGTTCTGGGGGTTTTTAAAAGACGGTAGTCGGCTTACCTATTTATTGAGTGGGAGAAATTGATAGATATGACGTCCGAGGTTGGCGCTTCTCAAGAACTTTACCTGCCCCACCAAAATATTGTCATCGCGTTTTTAATTAGTATTTTTTTAATTATGATACTTTGTACGATTGCACCGACATTTTATTGTGAAAGAAAAACTTTATATAGCTGTGGTGTGAACCAGAAACTGGTATTTTAGAAAGGTGTGCAACAGAAGGTGATCGAAAATTATGCAAGGAGCGAGTGGTTAACCAACGTAACATTAATAAGCGTTTCGATTAGTGCGAAAAACTATTTATTTTCACCGGGATTTCAAACTAACCGAAACCTTCACCTTAACACTGAAGGACTAAGGAAAATAATAGAATTTTTTAAAGAATTTTTTGTTTATGAATGTTAAACTGAAAAAAAAACATATTGGCAGGTGATATGACCAAATATCAGTCTTGCCGTTGTGAAACTAATTTTGTTTTATTTTCTTCTAATGGATTAATGTGACAACCTCAAGCAATCTTATAATCTGGTTATATCTCGATAGTGTGATTTCATAATGTTTAATTTCTCTTTTAAGGAACTGTTTCTATTTGCAAAAATTACATATTGAGCTTGCATCTGCAAGGTTAGAATTTAATTAAATTTTCTCAAACTGATTTTTTGATTAACTACTGAATATTGTCTTCCTTAAGTATTATAATTATTATATCTTTTCATTGCATAATTCCGGTAAAATATCATGTTTTATTTTTCGTATTATATTATCTAAAGCGGAATTAGTTATGCAAATCATTTTATTTATGTTTAAAGTATTCTGGGTCAGATATATAATAAAAATCATCAAATGACTTTCTTTTTAAAAAAAATGACTAGTGTAAAAATAAATGTTAACCAAATTCAATTTCTGAACATATTTACGTGGTGGGAGTTTAAAAATAATTATAAAACAATAAACAAATGATTAAAACTGTAGGAAAACTTTATATAAAAAATAATTTCCTCTACTTAACGTAATAATAAAATGTTAGTTCCAACTTTCTGTTTTTGTAGATAGATTTTTTTTTAAATAACTCAGTGAATGGTTCAATATTAGGTATCATTTAAAACAAATTTTGTTTATTTATTTGTAATTTTTAAACAAATATTAAAAGTTTAGTAATAAAGATTAATTTTTCAAATTTACGTCCGAAGCAGTTAAAAATTAAGGAAAATAATATTAAATAATGCCAAATTTTTAATTTTCAAAATTTTTGTTTCTGTAGTTTTCTAAAACCGAAAATTGTTTTGTGATATAAAAATTTCAATTTTATTGTCAAAGTAAAAATTGCATTAATTGTTAGTTTATTTATAGCATAATTATAAACAAAAGATGTGATCAAAACTGACCTGAATAAGTGAACAATTTTCGGTCTAAAATTATAACACTGATTATGGACTCTATTTTTGTCATCTTTTGTATGTTTTCTGGTACAATTTTTTAATTATTTAATTGTTAGTAAGTTGTTGACAACAGATAAATAATATCAATCGTATTAAATAATATTAACAAGTTTAATAGCAAATGTCGATTTGCCGTATCATTATTAATAATAATAATAATATTTATTTCTTTGTTTTCACTCTACAAACAAATTTAACAAAGCTAATCCAATAAAATAATTTTATTGTTTTGTTTTTCTATTCATTTAAAAAATAATAAGACCTTGCACACACTTACTGTACAAGATAACTTTTTTTTTTCTTTGAAAAAAAATCCGGATGTTGTTCCGATTGGTTTAAAACGATACATTAATTACTATTTCGTCAGGTAAACATTTTAATTTCCTTGGATAGTAAACAAAATAGATTTACTCAAATTTTTGAATAACAATTTCTGTTTGTAAACACGAATTTTGATAAAAGGTGATTGCCCCAAAAATTTCCAATTAACTCATAACAAACGATTTATGAAACTTGGCTATTTTTACGTACTTAAGAACAGTTTTATTATCTATTAAATTTAAAGCTTCGTGTTATTTCTATTGTAGAAAAAATCTTCAACACTCGATAAGCTATAAACATAAATCATTAAATTATCGCTCTGTTATTTTACAATGTTTGATGTTTCTCGAATTGTTTAATTTTTTTCAAACAGTAATAATTCGAAATTCGCGGAAATGAATTGCAAATAAATTTGCGTCAATGACCCACTTTCCCGATTTTCCGAAATAATTTAGTGTCAAACCGGTAATAAAAAAATATGAATAGACAAAAATCCTTGAAGATTTTTGGATTCAACCGTTTAATATGATTGGAAATGTTAATTAAAACAAAGAATATAGTAATTAAAAATCACGGTTAAAGTGCTTTACTTATCTCAACGGCTCAATGCCAGTAGAATTCCGAATAAATCGAGCAACAAAACATTTACTTAATATCCCTTTCGGATTTCAAAAAATTTACTCTTATATAAGCTAATTGATTGTAATTTAAAAGTCATGAGATCGTTGTGTTTTGTAAAGACTGGTTCTTAGCCAAGAGAGCCAGTTGTAAGGCACCGCTTGCTTAATCAAATTGAGTTTTCAATGTCAATGTCACATTCTCTTGTTAGATAACTGATTAGATTTCTTTTTTTGTAAAATTTTGCAAGCAAAATCTTTAGTCCGGCGCATCCACCAAAATTCAACTTTTTTTATAAATTATGTTAATCATGTTTATTAGTACAAGACGTATTTGACGTCAGTCGAGTGTACCTTCTGGTTCTTAATTTGAGCAGTTTGACGGCTTGAAAGTATAAATCATATACCAAGGTTGGTTCAAATTGAGTTAAATAATATCTGAAATAATTCTAAGAAAAAAAAAAGTAAACATCAGAACATAACTTAGTATTAAAATGAGTTGTTTTTGTTTTTTAATTTAGGATCATTAATGGGAATGACCGGTTTCAAATTTTTTGCTTTTCGTGCGTCATAGGCTGTTAATTTTTGTCAAAAGGCAATGATGTTTGTTTTTCTAATATCGCTAAATTAAGTTATGCAGAGAAAAATTGACAATTTTCCAAATTCATTATCATATAATTGTTAACACAAGAATAATTTGTTATAAATTTTATATTCAAATAAGCCAATAAAGTATTTTGCTATTTTTAGTCTTGTACGTAAAGTACAAACTCGATAAAAACAACAAAAAAAATATACAAATGACTTTAATGACTTACACGAATGTGGCACGCATATATTACTACAATTTTTTATTATTGTGATACTTTGGATCTTTTTTTTTAATTGTAATTGTGGGAAATTCTAAACTAGAAATAGAAATAGATAGGGTAGGAAATACAAATATAACGACGACTTTTTCAGTTAGGGATTTTTGTTTTAGCAAACCGAAAGTCAGTTTCTTGGAAATGACAAAAATGTAAAGAGATAGTTGAGTTCCTTTCGAAATTCCCAATCTTCGACCGGTCACGCACATTTCTGCAAATAATTACCTCATGTAAAATATAAATTCGAATGGAAATATTTTGTTGCATCTCGAGTGTCATTCGTCAATAAAATCGTTTTATGACTTTGGAAAAAATCGCGTGAAGAGCGCAATTACGTTGTTCTCTTGTCAATAAACAACCAATTTTATGATAATGATGCGTCAATAATTTTTCAGAAGATAGTGTGACACATGGCTAAAAGCTTGTTACGTAACGGTGCAAAAATACACCTTGATCTAAAACCATTTTGGAGGGTTTAAGCAAATTTTCTAGACCATTGACGTCTTACATTTTTTTTTTTCTCTAAAGAATGTGACTTACAGACACGGATAGCGTTTAAAAACATAATTTACTGGCCCGTATTGCGTCAATCTTGTAACGCCTTTATTTTTTTTGTTGATTTTTAACTGCTAATCTAGCTGTAGCAGATTAAAATTACTAATTATGTAAATAATATATAGTGGCGAGTTTTTGTCAGATTTGGCAAGATGATATAGTGTTGTCTAAGTTTGGACGTCAAACAATTTGTTCTCTGAACGTGTGAAAAGTAAAAAAATGGTCACCATGTTTGTATCTAATTACTTATGCAGTTTTTTGCGAATTTCTTAAACACCTGCGTTTGTTATCATCAAACATTGAACACGTATAGACATCGACTCATTGTTGGTTTTGTTAGTTTATGCGTCAGAGAAAAAAATTTAAAAAAATTAGGAGAAAGCAAAAATATCCCGCTTTACGGACCTTACTTACTATTAATTTTCTTAACTGGTTTTGTAGCAAATTATTTGCGTCATTATCATAGAATATGCGTATGAGACTGTCATCTTGTAAAATGTTAGAATGCAATTATTACGAATTGAATACTTTATAATTACATTACTAATTGAAATAAAATAATCTGTTTACTAAGTGTTGAAAATTATGTCGTTACATGTTAATTTTTTCTAGTTAATATTAATATCTGGTGCAGTTTGATCATTAAGGAATGTAATTGTTATGACGTTTGTTTCAAATATTTTTTTGAAAATAATTTCAATAAATAAGCACATTACTTCCATTTGGTTTTAATACGTGTAGTTATTTGCAGACTAATAAAAATTGATAATTAATTAAAAATTATTTTGAGGACAAGAATTTTAATACCAGATTCTGACGTCTTTCCAGCAACTTAATTATTATAATTTTTTTAATATCACAATTTGCAAATAAATAGTTAAATAAAAAAATATTTTGAAAGTTTTGTCATTCAGAACTTTGCTAATCTGTAATTTACAACCTAGTCACCACAATTTTGGTTCCTTAATAGTGAAATAAGTTAGTAAAAAGTATTCTGCATTTTAGTGACTTACAAATCACATTATTTAAAAAAAAACAATTTTTAACTAATTATTAATTAATTATCTAATAATTTTGATTTCAAGAAAATCTGACTTCATTTAGACTTTAGTAAATTTTAAGTTTGTGAAAATTAATATTAAGATTAATTTTTATAATTAAGAGTTGGTATAACCAGAAATAATATATATTTTATACTTGAATTTGTTTATTGAAAAAATGAAGCGTTTATAGATTTTAAGCTCTTTTCTTGTGATTATTTAAATTTCTGGTATTAATACGGGAAGTTTGTTTAGTGTATTTTCCAACAAGGGACAAGAAACCATCAATGTCTATTTATTTTCATAGAATATAAGTAACAATGTAATTGCTTTGTGTCATTAGTTGTACAAGTATTTAACATTAACCTTGATTTTGAAGACAGAATAATCATATTGTAACAAAGGTTACGCAAATATGTCTCTATTATCTTATCTGTGGACAAGAAAATGCAAGAAACTATTAGCGAAATACAAGGATCTGCGAAAACAAAAAGAAAAAAAACATAACAATTAATGCGTTTTCCTAATGAGACCCACGTGAAAGAATTATTAAACTTTTGTTTATTAATTATGTAAAACAAAATTATTTTTATATCTAAAACACACTCTTTACTGTGTTTTCAGGGTCACAAAACTCATAAAACTTTGCTAAAATTTGTGGATTTTTTGCGTGGCAAAATAAATAAAAAAAATTTCGTATTTGCTAAGCTTTGTTTGATGACCATATTATCGTCACACAGCCAAATTGTTGTTTGTTTCAAACTGTCTAAAAAACTTGTAGAACCTTATGGTTATATTAAATGTTAATTAGTTTCGGAAGTGTCTATAAAAAATACATTCATCATAATATGATGCCAATAACATGTAATAATTCAAAGGGGAATTACACGCTTTATGATAAATTATTGTGTGGTGTTTTAGACGCAATTTAGAAATAATAGCACTTTGTTCGTACCTACTCTAATTTTTCATTAATTTTTTTTACAACGCAAATGGTGTAAATATAATCTCGTTTATTTTATCACCTTTGTCATATTAAATATTTTAATTGTTTTGCTTACAGGCACTAATCAACTCACTTAAATTCTAATTTTTCGTTTAAAAGTTTCATCCTGTCTGCTTCTTGTCACGTAGTATTGTAACTTTAATTACCTTTTCAAAAATTTCAAATTTCATGAGTCACATGCACACGCCTGAATTATCTCGTAAGAGAATTTTAATTGTTCAGTAATTAATTGTACTTAAATGCAAAAATCATGTTTTTTAGAATATATATGATCATTTTTGCCATTCAGCTCTACTTTAATTACATTGCAAGAACATGCAATCAAAATTTTTAAAACACAAGTGAGACACGTGATCATAATTAAATGAGATAATTATAAGGGTAGACTGGGTACGATTGAAACACTTTAGCTTTTATCGTCCATAGCATAGTCATTAATAAATCGAGAGATGATGGAGATATGTTAAACAAGAGAGAGTCTTTTTGGCACTGCTCCACAATATTAAATTAGTCCCAGTGTTTAAAGAGTATAAAAATTCAAATTAACAATATTTCTAATGTTTTTAGGGCGTGCAACTTAAAATATATACAGGGTGATTCACATAACTTTACGACCCTGACGAACTTTAAATGCAACCCATTATACGTTATTCATTTATAACTTGATACTTTTAGTTATGTTTAATTAGCATAAAATCCGGACACCCCTAACATCAATAATTGACACTTCGGTTTTATAAAATTCAAAAATTTTTTTTGATTAAAAATGTATTCTAATGACGAAAGGGTCGAAATGATATTGATTTATAGTGAGTGTCAGAAGAATGCATCAGTGGCAGCCCAAAATTTGGCATCCGAATCGTAGGCATCCGACAGATAAAAAATTTTGACAATTGGAAGTTGAACTGCGCCTAAATTGGTTAAAACAAAAACGCCATAGACGACGGACTGCAACGAATCATGATAACGAAATAAGAGTTATCGAAAACGAGTCTTTTGTGACGCGCATTTAAGTATGTTTACAAAATAATGAACATCAGTTTGGACATTTGTTGATTTAAGTTCTCTAGTTTTTCTTTAGTTTTTTACTATTTCACTCATTCATTTCACTGTTTCTTTACTAAAATAAAAATGTGTTGTTACTGCATTGTAGTCATGATTGGCGTTATTATATTTTTATGAGGGATGTCCAAATCTCAAATAAGTTTATAATTATTAGTCTTTTTGAATCAAGTTATAATTGACTAATGTATTACTGGTTGCATTTAAAGTTCGTCAGGGTCGTAAAGTTATGTGAATCACCCTGTATATCAGTCGTCTTTGACAATATGAATACTTAATAATTATACACTATGTACTTATCAAAACAATATAAATCAATAGCATTTCCTTTTTATAAATTTAATTTGTAATTTAATGTAATTCAATAACGTACCTACTAAAATAGCACTTTGACCAGAAAAAGTATATGAGACCAAACTAAAAGAAAATATTATTATCAATAATGCTACTGATTTTGATAATAATAAATCAAACAAAAATTATTATTAATAAATAATAGTTTTCGGATCATTCAGAATCACAGTTGTGGCAAATATAGCTAAGACCACCTCCTATGCACTCTTCGTGAGTACATAATTTACAACTTCTGCATTATATCCATTTTTCTCCGGGTCTGTTCCTGAATACTACGACATACAAACAAGGCAGTAGCACTCCTTCTCCTCTGATGATGATGATTCATGTTGTTTATTAGAAAATAAATAATAAATAAATAAATAATATATTGTTTCAACCATTCAACCGTATCCAGAAAAAATGTTTCAACCGTCTCCAGCCCCCCTATTAGGTACAAAACGGTAGAAAACAATTTATAGTAACGGTGACAATAATTTCGCATTAAAACTAATCACGCTGCCATATTCTACAAGTTTCATTTCAAACACAAAAAAATACTCTCACTTTAATATAAGTCATAATAAATGCAAATCTCTTCAAACAAAAATACTTACTTTTGCTCAACAAAACACAATATGGCCTCTTATAAAAAATTGCAGGGCGCTGTAAGCAACGCAAGACTCAAGTTTATGTTCGGACCAAGGAGGTTAGATGTACTTATTATTTTGTCCGCTTTGTTCGGCCCTTGCACCCCTTTGTTACCAGAAACATTAACTCTGTTTCAACCGTCCTTTGTTTCAACCGTACCCAGTCTACCCTACTAAACATCCTCCTCATGTGTAAAGTCTAATCCTGCTTTTTTAGATGTAGACGGAAAATAATGCACAAAGTGATAAATAATTGTCGATGAAAAAACAAATTGCGCTCTTATTACACTGAGTTAAGTACAAAATACCTAGTTTTTTTTAACATAATAAAATGTAAATTATAACACCATTATGCTTTACATTGTTGATATTTGCTGTAATTGAGTAAATGCTAAATTATAATAGATTAATGAGTAATAATATTTACTTGTGGGAAAACCACTCATCGCACAATAAATAATTGGTTTAACTATGTAGCAAAGCAAAACTTTGCCGGTGGTTATGCAACCAGTTATACTATACAACTAAGCAATATTTTCTAGTATTTTGGTCATTTTGAATGAACGGTTGTAATAAAAGACACATTTTGTGAAAAATGAAGTTTATTTTATCTAAAATGATAATTGCATACAATTTTGTGTTACCTAATAACGTAAAAACCGCAATTTCAGTTCTAATTACAACAAAAACTCTTAATGACTGGTCCAGTGGTAAAATTGTGATTACTGCGTCGCAACAGCAGTTCGTGTTTTATTTTGGATTGGTAAAAATAGTTTAAATTCGGCTGGAAGTTCATCTTCTGAATACAGTCTATCAGAGAAGTAGACTCTTCTAATTCTACAGTTAGCATGGACTTGGACTCTTAGCGTTTCCACATAGTTGGTCCCATACGCACGTCGTGTGAAATCAGCTACATTGAATTGAATTTGATTCCAGCCCTCGTCTAGTCTCATTGGCATTGTACAAATAAAAGGTTTGACTCTTGTTGTTGATTGATAATTGCTAGCTCTGAACCTGCGTCGTACATTCTTATCGTCTAAAATCTAAAAACTTATTACTAAAAACGGCATCTGTGTGAAATTATGTGTTTACTTGGACTTCAAAAGTGAAATATTTTTTGAGATTTTTCACAATCATGACTAAGTAAGGGAGTTTGATTCCTAAAGTCTTCCTAGGGTCGGCAGGACAAGTGATATAAGTGGTGCTAACGTTACACCCGACGACTTCCAGGACCAAAGATTGGATATCCTCATCTGTGATCCTTTTAATGTGGCCATTTTTTACTTTTTTATCCCAGATTTGAAGCGGCTTGCTACCGATACTGTACAGAATCGAAAGAAAACCACTTTGAAAGGTATTTTTAAACATTACGAGGAATTTTTTGGACAAACATGACTCACAAAACAGAACAGGTTATGTTGAGACATAAACAAAATTTTTGACAGTTGGAAATGGCACTGACAGGTGTAGGAACCAGTAGCAAAATTTGCTAAAACTGTGGCTTCCCGCTTTCAGAGGGCGCGCACGTGGCGGTTTTTTTTGAATTAACAAGCCTTATAACATTTTACGTCTTTATTTGCCGTCACATAAATATATCACAATATAACATTCAACGCTACAGTCTCTAGAAGTGATATGTTTCGATATTGGTTCATTAAACTAAACGCGCAACAAGGTTAAAAATCTTTAAATAAATTATTAGATAAGCGTTTATGTATCACAGTACAACTATAAAATGAATCGAGCGTAAAAACAATTACATGCGGTTTTTATATCAATATCTACAATACTGGCCTAAATCTATAAATATGGACAAGATATACTGGTGCGGGCATCACTGCTTAGTGACAACAGATTAATGTAAAACATTCAGTGACAGTCATAAACAGCACAAAATTTAGCTCGTTATATTGGCGATATGTTGATAAGAGGAATTTTGATATGTACAGTTTTCGTATTTATCAAAATTTTGATTTTTGTTATTGAAGGAAGTAATAATATTAAAGAAAAAGTAAAGCAACAAACGCAACTATGAATATTAAAGCTATTCAGCAAGTTTAAAATAATCTGAAGACACACAGATCAGTAAACGAAATCGAGTCTGGTTACATTCCCTGTACAAGTCTACGTGGAAAAAATATACACTATTTCATATTGCTAATACACGACTTTTCTATTTAATCTATGTACACTAATAAGAACATAGGAACCTACAATACATGAAGAATACTTTTTTGGACTTTTTATCACGTTTGCGCCAACAAATCAGTTCAAAAAGGCTTCTTATCTAATGTGTTAACAAGTATATTACAATTGTTTAGCTAGATTGACAGATGTAGTGATATGCCATTTTAAGGCCATTGGTTAATTAATTAATAAATGATTATTGTTTGTACAGCTACGATTTTTATAGTATATAAAGCATTTATACATAAAGTAATCACGGGGTAACAAACATGCAAGCGTAAACAATGTGACACTTTTTACACACAACAACGAATTTATATGACTATATACTTTTAAAATTCAACTTAAGTCGTATTTTTTTTTAATTTTGAAGCGTAAAGTGCAATCAAAAGCTCGCTCATTAGTATTTCCTATAAAATAAATAACTCTACATATAATATAGCTATTTTCAAACAAGACAGAGTGTATAAATATATCATTTGTAATAAGAATAGTAGATCATATAGAGATCAACATTCGTAAAATTCATAATTAATAACAATAATATTTTTAACTAAATTCCATTTAATACTGCGTAAAATAATCAAGCATTTAAGCAGTTTATTTCAATTCCTAATCTGCTCATGCGTTTCAATTTCTTTCATTTTTGAGCCAATTGTGCTTAGGCCTAGAATTAAAAACTGCAACCTCTTCGAGAATTTGTGATTCTTAAGTGGCAGGTCTTGTGAGTAAAGCCTGCATTAAGTTAAGACTTTCATCTAAAGATTGTGCAAACCTCGAAGTACTCGTAACTTCACTCGACCAAAACGCCGACAAACAGAAAATAATATGATCGGATTTCGGATTGTACGAAGCTCCATAACCGTCAGGTTCCACTGGGCCATACCCCATGAAGCTATCTGTCGATGTTGCAACTTGACTAGTACTTAGAAGAAATTTGTTAGCTAATTTATAAGTGTAATCGGTGAAAATGTCTGGCAGTGAGTGCGCAGCAGTCGGTGAGGTCTCTCTTGCAGCTTCACGCAAGCCTAACAAGTGGATGTCGATGCCTTGTCCGAGGATATTATCGACCATTTCGGTGGTTTGGCGCTTGATTGCCTCTTTCCAAAGTCGGAGCTTTTCCTCGTCGCTGACTAAATGGAAAGTAACTTTTTTGCTATCGTCTTCGTCTTTGGGTTGGGCCATGGCCATGACCCAGGCTAAGGCTTCGGGGCTAGCAGAGCGGATACAGTCAACCCTTCCTAATCGAAATCTACGAGTTGATGCACTTTCATAAGTTGCGGTTAGTTTACCGTAAAGTCTATAATAAGCTAATTGTAACGCAAGTTGGATGTAAACATCAGGGCTGACTTTACAAGATTTGATAAAATCTTTGCCATAATTCGTATATCTGAACACTTGGAAATCTAAGTCTTTGACTAAATTGTCAATAGCAAGAGCTGCTTCCTCGATACGAGAAAAGTCTTTATCGTGTAAAGTCCATTCCAGACGTTCTGGTGGCGGCAAGTGGCTTGATGCTGAAGGTACTTCCGAGGTAACAGGTTGAGAGTCTGCATGTTTCCATAATTTCTCTACTAATTGTATCACTGCAATTCCTTCGGCTTGAGAATGCTCGTAGCACAAACCACAAGCACCATCTCCTGATACTATCAGCTGGATGGTTTTGTCGAACCATCTATTGGCAGTATCACAAGTACTGCCACCACCATGGATCATCTGGACGGCTAAATTTGTCTCGTCTCTGTGTCCAGCACTGTGCCCTTTGCCCCCTCTTTGCAACCGACAATTAAACCCACTCCCTAATCCTTCATCCAGACAAACCACCAGTAACGACCTTTGAATCAAATCCAAATTCCTTCGATTTCTTTCGTTAGCCATCAAATTCTCCCTGGCTTCGGCCCATAACGGCCTTTTCCAAGCCGTCAACAGCCCCACTGGCGGAGGACTCGCAAGACAAGGAGCATCATCCAAAATGTGCAACAACTGTGCACAAATCTCATCCTCACTCAACCTCCCCCGATCCGGTGCTTGCACCGGAACACAATACAACTGACTCCGGCAGATCACAATCACATGTTCCGACTCACTCTTCCCTGGAATCACCTGGCGATCCTTCTTCCTCCCCGGAATTCTGCAAGTCCCCAAAATCCGGTAATACTGAGCCATGCAAAGCGGTTGACCCGGCTCACGTGACGTGGCTTTTTCCACCGGAAGTAACTTCTTATCCAAAAGAGTCTTATGGTCCAGCGCCGCGTCTAGAAGCCGCGCCGTGAACCGGGCCACATCCAGAATCGTGGTGAATTTTCGGGGCGGAAATACCATGCCCGGATTAGAATTCACCGGAAGCGGCGAGGGATTATTCAGATACATGTCGTCAAGCCAGTAGTCGTATGCCTGCGAACAAGAAGCGATAGAAAACGGATTAGACACCCTATTGTCTTAGATAGACAAGGGGTTGGTGCGATTGGTGGTTGAGAAAACGCGTGCGTGCTTCACGTTCCCCCTGATTGGCTGCAACCATTGAAAAATGACTGTTTGCCGGGTTGCAGAATACAATACAAACGGGGGATATACGAGCAATAAAGTTTTGTGATAATCGTAAAAACAAGTTGCCTGGGGATAATTGTTACTGTTAGTTGCTAGACAACCATTATTTAGGTATCACTTTGTTGGTAGCCAACTAAAATATTTTAAAGTGATAAGAAAATGTATAATTTTATATTAAATCGTTTCTTTGTCAATATTTTTTGTAAGTTTACAGAATTGTCCAAATAAAGAACGTTATTTTAAATAAACTTGTGTATGGAAATGTGGATTTTGGCACTCCATCCCGTTTCAATCCAATTATAATTTTTAATCCCTCTAGGGGCTGCGAAATGCGCTGTTTGCTCTTCTGGTCTACCGGGATTAGGCTGTTCCACCGACGTTACAAACTCCGTAGAATGATAAATGGTATCTAGCCATCATATGTTCGAATCAATTGTTATCGTTTTAACATTTTTATCGTTTCAAATATGTATAAATAAATAATAAATCAAGCGTTGTTTGTCATAGGTGTTTGTTATTGAACGTTTTGGTCAGGGCTAAAAGTCTATTTCGTTGTAAAGGTCAACAATTTTTCTTGAGTGATTAAGTTGTGAAGTGGAAAGTGTGAGTGTGACATTCTACATTTTTTAATGTCAATGGGATGACGTACGAGGGATAGGTAATGTTAACTAGCCGAAAGGAGGGTGGAAAATACTACGTTTACTTTCCGAATCGGTGATCAAACAATTTTCATAGCTAACAAGATCAATTCGGCTTGGGGGAAGCTTGGAACTTGCGCTTCGATGCTCAAACTGACACGACGTAATTCCGTAATTGCACCAATCTAGTTTCAAACGAATTTAATTTTCATTAACTCTTTGCTTGCTTTTCGTTATGAGGAAAAGGCTTTTTATTAATTTTTCCTGCAACAAAGACACACAAATTGAAGAGTTTCATAAAACTGCTTTTTGTTGTTGCCAACCTCGACTATTCTCAGTTTTATAATTTTTTTAATTTATTTGTACAAAAAATTGTTTTGGTGGACAATTATTAAATGATTTAAAAGACGACGGCATGAGAAAATCAATTTTAAATTTTAATTCTTTTTAATAATTTACTATTTAATGCAAAATATGACACTCACATTTCAAATGAACAAATAATCGTAAAAAAAAATTACTATGGTAGGTATTTGTTATGAAAAATCCAGCATGTTTCAATTAACACCTCCTAGTTTTGTAGGTCAGTATTTCTGTAACTAATGGATCAAACTACTTCAACCTTAAAACATTAGTAGCCAATTAGATACAAAATTTAAATAAAAAAAGAAAACGCACTCAAATGGAAAAATGTTTTTTAACAATAATTACTTTTGCACGAAATTAAGTGAAATTTGTATTAATCTATACATTTTTATAAAAATGATTTTTATATGATGATTTTCAGGTGTGCTAAATATTAACAAACAATAACAATAAAAAAACATTTACTTTTTAGCTAACAATTCAAATCGCATAACATACAACTCAGACACAATTGAATGTTTTGTTTTTTTTTTTTATAATCCCATTCTATCATTTCAATTTAATATAAGTGAAATGACATATGAAAAGCTATTTTTAACAGCCTCTGTCTGTTAAGGATTATAACGGCCGTGCACACAGAAAAGTCATTATCTTAATTTAAGAATAATAATTGTCTTAACGTCATATTTTTAACTTGAAACTATATTATTTTACCACAATTATTTTTATTTGTATTAAAATAAAACTATTTCTTGACTTAAGCAACGAATAATTTTACTGAATTGTTTTACTTTAAGAAAAATTTTCTTGTTTGAAATATTTTTAGATTCTATTTAATAAAAGTTTGGTAGTTCACGCGGAGAAAGTAAGTTATCTTACTTTAAAAATATTTGGTTCGTCACCTCAAGTAAACAGATTTACTTCAGTCATAATACAGAATTATTCATTTGAAAAAATATCTGAATCAATTGAAACCACACATAGTTAAACTAATATTTAGTAAACTTGCACTGAATATAATTTTTCTTGAACCAAATAATTGGTTTCCTTGACTTTGTTGCTTATGCTCGAGAACCGAGAACAGAGAGACCAGAGTGAGATCCAACGCAGCTCAGATGAAGACGTTTTTTTAAGTTAAATAAAGTTGCAGTTACTGTACAATGGAGAAATTATTGCTAAAATCGTGCAGACTTGACAAAACTGTCATTCAAAAATTTAAAGGTAAATACAGTTGCTTGTCCTAGTGTGAAATTAATTTCACATACCGTATTAATACGGTATAATATTTTAGATGTTGTTACTGAATGGATTGAATAAATGTTTCAGATGAGTCAAATTAAGTATATTTGCTTCATAAGGATGTATTTTTGTTTGTAAGCAGTTAAAAACAATTAATTATTCTTTACACTATACGTACAGCTTATAAGTTGAGCGCATTGATGGGCAAAGAGCAATTCCATTTTCTATAAATGATTTGTGTAGTTCCGTTCCTACTATTATTACGTAGTCTACCGAAAGGTGAATTGTATGTTTCGCTTTCAAAAATACATATTTTGATTTCCTATTAATCTTAGAATGTTTGATTTTTTAATGTTTTAGTTTGACATAATTTTATATAACAGTTGTACGAATGCCATGTTCATTATTTTTATAATAAAATTATCTTTGTAATAAGATTATTGTATTATTTACCCAACAAAATTGAATTTTTCAATCAAAAAAATATTTATTTGAATGAAACTTTACAATTGTTAGCTTCAAATAAGGATGCGTTCAAATTAAATAAATCAGTTTCATAAATTGAATGCGTAAGTTTTTATTTCAAGAAAACAATTTCTTCTTCCAAAAGTTCCATATTTCAGAAGAAATTATTATTTTTTACTTCAAGAACTAGTAGATTTTATTTCAATAATAAACGTTATTTACTCTTAATGTTGTATTTACTTGATTTAAAACTCAATGGAAGTATTTATATTAAATCAATTATGTTTCTACTCAAGAAATGCAGGTTGAGCAAATAATTTCTATTTTGGAGAATATATTTACTTGCGTATATCGAAGATTAAGAATTATTTAATTCGAGAGTATTTTACTCACTGTTAAACAATATTTCTCTGTGTGTGATGTTCGTGATATTGCGATTTATTTTATAAAATCAGGGAAATTACGAAATTTAAAGCTTTGCTGCTCTTTGAGGGAATGGGAGTACGAAGAGCCTGTTACCAAATAACAGATTTGGTTTATCAAACCGCGGCTTCCTCGGTTTACAAAATTCAACCTCATCTGTTATTTGGTGCATATCAGCCTTACGACGTTAATAACTAAATACATAATATTTTAACAACTTGCAGAAAAAAAGTAATTATTGTCTGAGAAACCTCTGTGAAGAGTTTCAGCCAATTTTAAATGAAAAGTTGAAAAGTTAACAAGTTATTTTATGGAAAAAATATTATGAGCTGTTTTTTCCAAGAATAATAAATGTAACTTTAATTTGAAACTAACCATTTTAACATGTTTTGCTCTGGATGTAATTCAAATTCAAGATTTAATATAATATGCATAAGTAACCTACACACAGTTTCTAGTCTGATATAATAATTTATTGTAGCATGTAAAAATAAAGTTGCTTCGGTTCTCTTGAAAAATGTTTACGCTCTCACAAACTGGTACGATGAAAATAATAACTTTAACAAGCTATAATAATAATTCCATATATCATAAACCACAAAAATATTTCCGTAATAAATTTAACACAATTTTTTTAATGTTTAACCTGGCTTTTTATTCTTGTGGTTCAAAATTAATTAAAGTACATAATCATGTATTTAATACTTTTTAATTTTTATGCATACATAATATACTCTTTTTTATATAAATGCATCAAGTAGGTTGTAGAAGTCTAAGTGCATCTTTTATTTAAAGGCTAATTCATACAAAAAGTGTCATTAATGTCATTAAGAACAAATTCAATCACATCAATCATGACAAAAATCTTTGTGTTTGCTATCCTACGTTAATTAACTTGTTAATTTTAATTGTTCTTTGCAACCTGGGGTACACATTTATTTGAAAAAATAATTTTTAGAGAAGATCGAGGTTAGGATTGTTTGAATTTTTGCATGGTTGTAACCTTAAAATGAACCTTTTCAACGATTACTTTGATGCACATCAATATGAAAATGAGTATAGCTTTGAAATAATTAGCAGTTTGAAATATGAATCAATAAATTAAATAGTTGCGTTACTGCGGAACATTATTTTGGAATTAATTTTTTTGTATTGAAAAGCGGGTGTGTTGCTACATTAAGAGAATGTGAAAATGCTAAAATAGCGTTTTGAAAACGGTTTATTTTCAACCAGTGTCAACCCTACCCAATTATCCATTTTCTCTCTCCGATCTTGCAGATAGAGTTGTAGCTGCGTCCCAAGACAGCCTTGTCCTGCAAACTTATCGATGAGGTTTTTCAGTTTTCTTTGTTCTTCGATATTCAGAAGCGGTTTCATTGTGTACTCATACTTGTTCATGGTTTGTTCTAAGTCCGGTATAGGGAGTTTCGGTAGGGGGAGTTCCTGCAATCAAATGAATTATTAAGTAGCAAACATCACGAAAGAAGACGCTTTTCGTTATAACGACCCGTTTTATGTCTCAACATTTTAGAAAATTTCACTGCGAAACGTCACATGTTACCAACCTCATTTTCACATATCTCTCTCTCAACGACCACATGATTGCCATAACGGCTCTACCCCTGACGATTCGCGTAATTCAGTTTCAGAATCATCCATATATTCATAGACGGGGAAAATCGCAAGGGATGCGAACGCAGGGGTTGAAGGGGGGTGAGACACCAATTAACATCCCGTGAATCACTCGTACAACACCGCGCCCAATTAGTCTGTTTGTCTATCGTGATCGAATATTGGTGCATGACTTTTTCAACAAATAGAAATTTTTCATAAATGACAAAAGGTACAAGTGGATACACGCGACCGCTTCGTTTAACCTACTCGTGCTTATTCTAGTGGATACACGCGGCCGTTATATCGATAGAAAAAGGACCTAGCGTGACTTGCATGACACATGGAGTAATCACGCACGTTTTAAGTGGAGGAGACCGCTTTCCACCCCAAAAACGCAAATTGGGGCTTAATTTTCATTTTCTCTATTTTCTATAAAAATGAGACCAGAAATGAATGATTTTAGTGCTTAGTGTATTTTTTACAAGATTGAAATTATTTTTCTTTACTTTTTTATATTATTTATCCGTTTGTAACGTTTATACAGGGTGTCACAGCGAGTTGAAAAAGTCCATTAGTAACCTTTAAATGGTGAAATTAAAAAAAATGTATAGGACATTGATAGATACTAATCTAGTGCATCACTTAAAATTATTTTCAACTATACAGCGTGTCTCAAAAATAAATTACGATACAAACTTGTGTTTTTTTAAATAAAACACGGTATGTTTCTTGGCATTTTTGGATGTAGCCTTTTAAAACAATGTTTTTACGCTAAACATTTTTTAGTCGATTTCGCTTAGTTTTAGAAATAAGACGTTTTTTTTTAACGAAAACATGCACTTTTTAAAAATTCATTACACAAAAACTAAGACAGCTAGAACAAATTTTTTCTTACTTCTGTAAAAAAGAAAGTACAGAATTTGAAGCTGTAGCAATTTTTTAGTGATTTGCATTTGTAAAGATTAATAGCTTAAAAAGTTTGTTAAAAGTTAAATAACTTAAAAAAATTTATTGGAACACCCTATTTTTTATTTTTGTATCTAATAGATTGATAAATTGTCTATCTAATAAAATAAACTTTTAATGTCTAGAATTGATAAATGAAAAGATATTTACAATTCAATATTAATTGTAGCAACAATGCGTATCAATATCTGGGCATTGTTGATACTATGGCAACCATAGTTATTCCACCACGGATCACTTATCCGTTGATTTATCCAGAGATTGTAAAAGTCGTTATAAATACTGAAATTCGAATTATTTTATTGTAAAAATAAAAAATAATGGATTCAGTTTAAGACAAATGTGATTATTAAGTGATATTTCTTTCATCTCTTGTGCAACTGTGCACTTTTTGGTTACTGAAACAATAGTAATTATTTTTTTTAATGTTTAACGTTAAATATCTTTTTGGTTATTGATTGAAACACCTAAAAATGAATAATTTTCAAAAGACAATTTAATATTCTTCTTAATGCAAAAACAATAAATAGGATGTTCCATTTAATTTTTTTAAGATGAACTTTTAACAAACGCCTTCCTTTTTTTATCTTTGCAAATGCGACACACTAAAAAAATGTTACAACTTTATAGCTTGTACCTTCTTCTTTGCGGTAGTAAACAAATATTTTTAGATGTCTTATAGTTTTTGTGTAATAAATTTTTAAAAAGTGCATGTTTTTGTTTTTGTTTTAAAACTAAGCAAAATCGACCAATAAAAGTTTAAAAACATCGTCATAAAAATCTATATCCAAAAACGCTGTTCCATTTAAAGAAACACAAGTTTGTATTGTAACTCATTTTTGAGACACGCTGTATAGTTGAAAATAATTTTAGGCAATGGACTAGATTAGTATCTACCAATGTCCTATATTTTTTTTTATTTTACCATTTAAAGATCATTAATGGACTTTTTCAACTCGTTGGGACAGCTTGTATGTTCAAGGACTTTTCAGTTGGTTGCAGGTTTCCGAATAGGAAGCGGAACGACGACACTTGCCTCCTTCTTGAAGCTATTTCATCTAAAATTCATATTTCACTCTTGAAACTCCTCTGTTTAATATAAAGTTTTTCCCCGATTTTACTTCTCATTCGGCTTAAAACAACTCCGTGGCAAAGCGCAAAGCTTACGCAAGTATCCGACTGTACACATTTATATTACATGAGCATCGTTATCGATCGGAATGAAATATAGAGCGACCGGTGAGAGCAGACAAGGGTCGCAACCCAGTACGAAACAGGACTCGCATCTAGGTGTAGGGCTCTTTTATCTTCATTTGCACGTAGTGGACGACCCGGAAACGTCACCGGGAGATATCGACCTGGAGTAAGAGCGACGGAGCGTGTTTCTCACCTGACGAGCGAGAATTTACAACGTATGGAAGCGTGAAATTAAGCGAGAGCATGTGGGGATTGAGATATGTTTTGACTAATGAGGTTTGGAATTTTTTTTAATTTTTGAAGGGGATTAAAAGGGATTGGGGATAGCGGAAAATTGCGACGATAAGAAAGATTGAAAATTAAATATAGATTAAGAGATGGAGGGACGAGAATTAGATATTGGGGGAGGTAACCCAGTTCTGGGTTGTGCAATATAAATATTTTTAGAGAGTTTTGACCGTTTCATTGAGGTGCTGTAAACAATAGACGGTGCCACTTGAATTGTTAACTGTATTTCTACTAAACTGTATGTATTATATTGTATTATAATTTTTTTGATAAGAAATAAGAATAGAATAGAAAATAAAAATTCTAATAAATGGAAATATTAGTAAAGTTTTACATTTATCTTGGAAAAACGCAGCCCTTACTCTAAAACCTAGCGTACTTTTATTAGACAAGTGAAAATTAGACTAAATGTATGATTATTTTTTTCCTAGATGAGTAACACATTTTATTTTAGCATTTACATGTACAGATTTGCTTTTTTGTCTTATTTAGGATAATTTAGTGCAAATTTTATAGATTTTTTTATTGTAACAGTAGTTATTTATTTTTTGCGCGGTTAAACTGTATTTGACTATACAGTATGTCCCCGGATTGAGTTTACAAGAGAAAAAAATAATTATCTTTGTTCTTACGCCAAAACTGCAAGGGAAAAACATTTTTTGCTTCATCTGAAACGAGCAAATCTGTAATTAAATCTTCATTATTCTAACTGATTAGAAAGAAAAGTTCTTTTTTTTCTTGATTTTGGACATAATTTTTCTCTGCTTTTTAAATCCCATCACATTGGCGGTTTTATTTTTTTGACAATGATGTCACTTTGACAATTTTTTTCGCAAGTTTAATAACAAAAATGTTTGTGAAAAACATGATTTTGATAATTAGCAACTCAAAGAAACAGCTTTATGATAAAAAAACAAAGTCATTTTTAACAAAAACCATCATTAAATTAAATTAATTAATTGTAATTAAATTAAATTAATTGTAAAAATGACATATAGTTGTCAAACAAATAAAACTGCCAATGTGATAGGACTTCAAAGCATAGAAAAAAACTTTTCTTTTTACTGAATCAGAATAATGAAGTTTCAATTATAGATTTGCTCGTTTTAGCAAAAAATGTTTCCCTTTGCAGTTTTGGCGTAAAATAAAAGAAAAAAACATTTTCCTCTTGTAAACTCAATCCGGGGACCTACTGTGTACCATGTCTGTTTACAAAACAATAAGTTGAATTTATTCGGTAAGTACTCAAAGTCGTTGCAAAGTATTTTGTCCTTCTAGTGAGTAAATTTGTTAGATATTTTAAGAAAAAAATTTAAAAAATCAATCGCCAAAAAAATGTTATCATAAGCATTACGAACGTTAATGACTTACTTATCGTTCTTGAATCTTATAAGTAATATGCTATTACTTATTATTTGTCGTTTAGTATTGTTTTACTCAAATTTACCCTTTTTTAACTATTATAATAGGTATCTAGTATTAAAAAAACCTGAAAAAAAGTGTGAAAAGCTGTATTTTAATAAATTTTCTTGATAAAAAAATTTGAAAATTATGTGAGAGAAGTACTATAAATTATTTACCAACTTTACCCATTAAATATTTTTGGTTAAGTACTACTTTTTGGCTGGCTGTTATATTTTTATTTCAATATACTCTAGTTTCCTGAATGTTGACATTTTTACAAACCAAGGACAAACAAGCTCTTAAAGTACCATTAAACATAATTATTATTAATTCAATTTGACATTTATGTTTCTAAAGTTGTAATAGCTGGATGCTTTCTTTAATTAGGAATTCAGACAAAAAACTACTGTGATTCATTAAAGCAGTCTGATATTTTATTCACCATTTCTGCTGTTTACCCACAAGGTAGTGCTTGTTTTCTTAATGACGCACACATCCCTATTATATTTTCGGTTCGTTGAAAGCAACCCCTCGTTATACTTGCGAAACGGAACTTGCACTAAATAAAAAAACAATTTATTATTTATTATCTTCCATTTAAGCTTGAATGAAATTAGAATATTTTACTCGTACTTAAAAATAAATATTGTAACGAGTTTGTTGATGAAAGCGCTCTTTGTAGCACGGATCATATTATGGAAATATGAGAGGATGCGGACTTATGCATTAGATAAAATACGAGGGAGATGCTTGTGGGGGTGTCTCTGGGAAATTACAAGCTGCAGGTGTTGCGTAAAGATTTGAAAATTTCCGGGGTGGATGACCAGACTATAATTCGATGCCTATCAGTAGAAAGGTTAATTAATGACAAACTCGGCACTACATTGCGGGGTAATCCCCATGTGAAGGGTCGTAACGAGAACACGTGTCTGGCGGCCGCAACTGTACACTGAATTTACCCTAAAGGTGTCGAATGAAAACACAAAAAAATTGTTATAACCGAACCCAACTTTCTAATATCGGAAAAAGATCCGATTGGCAGTTAAAGTGAGTTACTGTCAGATCTAATAAAGTGAAGCCTTTTACTTCACCGACAAAGATTCGAACTCTCAATCATCCGATTGAGTTCATATCTGGATTTTCTTTCCTAATACTGAAATTTTTTCGACTCTTTAGAAATTAAAACATGCAATCTTTCCGCTTTTTTGCTAATGTTTGGCAACGGAGGATCATCACTGAGGACTCCCTCGGGACTTGGAACACAGAAATGCCATCTACATATCTGATGTCCCTCGGGAGTTTCCCGTTCTTGTTTTCTGCATCCAGATTAGTGAAATACATTTCGGTTTTTTCTGATCGAAATACTTCGTGAAAGAAACGCGTGCCAGGAATTCATAGGTTTATACAGTTCACGCGTGCACAAAGCACCGACTTTATTGATCGAATGCTGCCCCTCGTCTACCTGCCTCACCGTGACCTCGCCGCAGAGTTAATTTAAGGGCTATTTTTGCTACGGTAGAGTTTCCAATTAGAGAAACGTGAAAATTAAAGCGTTTTGGCCCGATTCAAACAAAAATGAAAATTGAAGATTTATTAAAGCACTCATTTCTATAAGCAAAATTCTCGTTGTAAGGTTGGTAGCGGTGTCAACGACCGGTATACAGAGTGTTTTAGAACTCGCGCCCCAAAGAAAAATACCAAGTAAGATAAGATACCAGGAATATAGAAAATATGTTTAAAAAATTTTATCTGTCAAAACATTTTGACATTTATTTTTGAACATTTGACATTTTTTATGTTTATTTAATGATAATTATTTAGTAAATGTAGAAACACCCTGCCAATAAAAACTACAAATAAAAACATAAAGTCTGAGTCTTTTTAAATGGAAATGTCAAACAGTCTTAACGTTGGCACCTCTAACAAAGTCATTCATGGTAAAGGAAGTTGGCAGTTCCAGTTTTTGATTCAATTAAAAAAAATTTCATTAAACGTCAGCAAAAAAATTCTCTAAGAAAATTTAGAAATAAAAACACAAAAGCGAGGACAAATTGAGTACCGAGAACAGTTTTTGGAAATTTGAAGACGAAAAGTGTGCAAGCAGAAGTCAGAAAAAGACCACCGCTAAAATTTAGACTCAATTTGTAATGCCTTTTTGGGGACAAAAACTAAAAACAAACAAAATTTGTGGGTATGTGGAGATAAGCTGCTAACAATTTTTCCACAAAAATTTTGACTTGGTAATCCATTTAAAGAAAAAACAGATTTTAGCTAAAATTAAGAATAAAACTTGTTTTCTCTTCTAATAACCTGCAGCAAAAAACATGTACAATTATTTTTCCAACAGAAATAAATAGTCAAAGTGTCAAATTTTAAAATTGTTACAGATAGATTTATTTAACATTTTTTTATGTTCCTAGTATCTTACTTTACTTGGCATTTTTTTCTGAAGCACGAATTCTGAAACATTCTGTATCTCAAATATAAATTCAATGTTTTTGCCCTTTTGTTTTATTACTTTTAAACAAATGCTGGCCAGAAGTCTGAAACAAATAGTTTTTTAGCGGGGCAACTATGAAAAAAAATCATTGGACAGATCGTTTTTTAATTTATCGTTGTTATTTATAAAAAAATATTCGGCATATCACATTTTTTTTATAAGACATGCACTTTTTGTAACTATAAATGAAAACTTCGCATTTTTCTACGGTTAGTGGTACCCATAAATGTGGTCAATGGTAAAAAATTGCAATGGAAAACAAGAACACTTTTAAACTAAAAAAACCTAGCTAAAAAAAATCATAAATGCCTCTCCAAAGAATATGAATTTTATAGTGCGCATTGTAAATTTGATATTTAGATGTACGGACACGGAATTTTGGACGATTTGTCATTCGGTTGACATAAAATGTAAAACTGACTTTATGTGCAACTTTTTTTTGATTTTTGTAGCTAAAGAAAAATGACAATAAATCAAAATACTAATAAAAAATAATAACTATATAAAAAACGTACTGCAACTGCTGGCATTATTGTATGTATTAGAAAATCGACGCCAAAAATAAATTTCAACTAAAAGTTTCAAATTTTAGATTCAAACGTCAATCATAATGACACTAAAGCTTGGCTTACATAGATATTTTTTGAACTGACATAACTTGAGGTCGTTAATTTACTGTCCATAATTACATAAATTTGTAATTTTTCCGATTGTACAGGGCGATTCAGATAAGATAATGAGCCTGACGATCTGGCGATGCAACCCAAAAAACAAATTTCATTTACGTTTTAATCTAATTTTAATTACAATTTGCATTTGCAATCCAAGTTATCTTATGTTGCTCTGATGGTGCTTTGACAAGCAATTTATGATTTATAAAAAAACCTGTTTGCCTACCTTTAATGTTTTATTATTTCATACATTTTGTATTGGGTTTACACCAAAAAAACTTCTCTAATTTCTCTATCATTCCGCGAGAACTGAATGGCACTAATAATCGTTCTCTGCACTGATGTCAGAGTAACACAAGATGATAACTTGGATTCAACTGGCAAATCCTAATTGAAATTGGATCAAAGGCATAAATGAAATTTGTTTTTTGTTTTTTCGCCCTGTATACAATTTTTATAAAAATTTAGTTTATGGAATTGTATGTCTTGTTACCCCATACAAAAATTTAATTTCCATTGAAAATGCAACCTCTGAGCTTTATAATTTGTAAATATGTACAACCTAAGAGGTAGAAAGAATAATTATGATTAGATTTTTTTTAATTTAAAAGTCAAAACAATATTTAGCTTTCTAAGAAATTTCTGGGGCAACTTCCACAAATTTTTACTTTTATTATAATTTCTTACCCTACTAATCCAATCCCTGAACGCAGGTAAAGACTGAGTTTGGACCCTGTCTAGGGTGTATTGCTGATTGCTTTTGAATAAAAAGTGCTGAAAACCGACTTGCCCGCTCACTCCCGGACAGCCTTTCAGTCATATTTTTATCTAATGTTGTAAATTTTTCGTGCTGTCCAAATCTTTCATTAATATTATCTTAGTGATATAAGCCTTGTCGGGGAAGCGTCCTATTGTCCTCGGTGTATTATACCACCAGTGAGTTCACAGAGGGTTCAACCCCCCTGCTTTGTGCCCCGCAGTGTAGCGTTATAATAGCATCCGTCTAAATTTGCATTGTGAATTAATTAATAATACACCTAAAGCACGCGAAAGCCTATCGACTCAGCACTATAGTTTTTAAATTATGTGTTGGATAGTGTTACTTTGAAGTTTTCTAAAGCTCAGGTTTGACGAGCTTTTCAACCTGATACTTTCAATAGTTGACACGCCTGATGCAGGCTTGCGACCCGCTGTGAGGTAATACGGGGTTGGAACAATCAGGAAGAATTTCAATACAGTCGGTGGGAAATAGAATGTCAAGTGCAGGTGTGGGAGGACAAAGAATACGTTTGTGTTACCTCAGTGCTAGCCATGGTCGAGTTGGGGGGCACCAGAGACGTCCCGGCTAACCACTTCTTCGGCAAAGATAGAAGCGATTCGCGCCATCCTAAAACAAGCAAAAAATTATATTCTTGTCGACACCCCATAACTGGTTAATTAATGAAGTTCCAGTAACATCGGGCACCATCTCCACTTATAATCGCGTTAATCCGCCGGGGGTGCGTTTAATTGCTGCTAACTGACATTCTTGGGCCTGATTTATAGTCGCGTTAAGCTTTGACGTTTATTGGGATGAGCTTGTCCTTTCGGTGTTTACTCGGCCTAATAATCTCGTTATGTATACTGTTGTCAGCTGCTACCCTTCGAAAGTTTAAAGTGTGACGATTTATTCGCGACGAACTTTGCCATTCTCGTGCTTTAAGGTCACCATGTAAATATTTCGAGCCGGGGAAAATCGACGTGGAAATGTGGTGAATGGTGACAATAAAGCGACCTGACAAAGCAATCAAGCGGAGATGGGGATGGAGACCCCAACAGGAGCAGGAGATTAGCTAGATACATCACGAAGGACAAGACTTGGGATTGGATTCCAGAAAAAATGCTAATGGTGCAAAATTAAGTTCGCACTCGTCTGGCAGTTTCACAATTGAAAAAACTGTTGGCTTTAGATGAAAACCAAATGAACATTTTCTGGTCGTTTAAATTATCGTTTTTTTTTTTGAATTCACATAAGAAAATGGCCAAATATCAACGGGAAAAATGTGTAAATTAAACTCATCTGTGAAGCAGTGAAGCAAAATCAAAACTTATCTTATAGTCAAAGTTATTTTACAAAAGCATATTAAAATACTAAAATATTTTTGTTAATTTTCTTTTGAAAGGTGTGTTAAAAAGAAAAGTGTTATGTAAATTTTTGGTCAAAAAATTAATAATGTAAAAACAGATTGCAAATTATTTGTTTTAGAGTCTAATTTTCATTGCTATAGTGTCAGTTTTATCTTCTCAGTTTTTATAAATAGTAAATTTCTGTATCAAGTACGCAAAATAGGGTTTGGTGCATACAAGATTTTTTTGTTAAAGCTCCCAAAACACGAATTCAGACCTCTTACTAATAAAAAAAAATTATTACCATAATAATCAATTTTATTTTTTAGTCCGCAAAAACTGTTTTTGGGGACTGAGTACCTAAAATAACCGTTTTGCGTACTATTTTATTGAGTCCGGAAAAGACTCATTTTAGGGACTCAAATGAGTCCCTAAAACAGCTGTTTTCAGGAGCGTATACAGAAGAAATGTTTTTTATATCAGATTATTTTGTATTATTTAATTATTTAATTTTTTGAATCTTTCATTTATAATTCAATAATTTCTAAATCGAGAATTTAACAGAAGAATATGTACAAACTAGTTTTTCAGACATTTGGCACCAATGTTTTTTTTTTTCTAACTCGGGTTATGGTTTTTGTGGAAACTTTATTTTTTACACAGAAATTACTTTCGCATCTTTTAATGAAGAGTGTAGAGAAAACCTGCGGTTAATTGTAATTCGATATCCGCAGAAATCGTAGAATCCCTTTTGTTCTTTCGCAATTTGATATTTTTTCGTTTAGAGCGTCTTAGTAGAACCGGTGGCGGTAGAAAGGGATTTGTAGGGATAAAGCCGCGCCTTAAATTGGCTCCAATCTAAGGGCACGCTGAGGTGAGAGAGTCCGGATCGATATTCCCGTAAATCCTGCAGCGAAAGGCAAGCGATGGTCTTGCAGGAACAAGAGCTTGCATCAACAGCAGGAATCCTGGAGGCTCGTTGATGATTATCTCGCACGTTGTTTTTCGTCCTTGTTCGTTCCCTCAAGACATCCCTCTCGTTCTGTATCCTTTGTGTGCGGACAAAGTTAGCGTCGGGAACTTTTTAGCCGGATTCTCCCGGGATTTACCTCAGTCTGGCTACGTGAGACGCGAACAAATAAAAGAAGGATGCACTATGCACCCTTATTTAATTCTTCGGAATAATTGTTTTACTTGGAAATTTCTCTTTCTGCTTGTAGCACTGTTTTCATTCAGGATTGGCATTTTCCGGTTCCCTCTGCATCGCCAGAGGCGTCCGGGGGAATGGAAAACTTGTCTCCATGCCGAGGTCCTGAGGGACTTTGCCCTGCACTCGATCAGCTCAGATAACAGCACTCATGTTCAGCCTTTGTTTGAAACAACTTGCACCATTACAACGCTTTCCCTAACTTTCGCTAATTGCTTTCAGGTCTACGTCGTGAGTAATTGGACACTTTACACGTTGCTTTTCTTCGTTTATATTATTTTTCTATTGTACTTACTATTGTGAGATGTCTTCCGGGATTTTATGCAAAGTATTGATTGGATGTCGTGTCGTTAAATTGACAGGCAGGAACAGGACACCGATTTATATGGGTTGTTGGATCAGTAAGGCAAAAGGCCGGTATTGTTCAAGATCCGGTCGAAGATTTCATCGGAGCTGAGCTATAATCTGGGGATGTAGGCAATTCGGAAACATGTCTTTAGAAAGCCTGCAATCGATCACTTGCCAGAAACGCCCATTTCGGTTACATGTGGCCTTTGGGCACGGAAACTTACCAAAAAGTCGTTTTTGTTTTTTAATTCTAGAAGAGAATGGCTATGTTGTCTTTAGGGCGAGTGTAATTGAGTCACAAAGCGACAAATTGGATGTTGGAAAATCATGGTAAAACATTCTTCCGTCAGAGCTCCTAATAGTTTTATTATGTCGCAAAATTTAATCCATCTGTCCCACAAAACAGTAATGAAGTCATTACATAATATTTTTAAGACTTAATTTAGCCGAAGAAGCGGGAAATTGCTTTTAAAGCGGATAGTCTCGACTCGGTTAAACCCTGTTTATTTCTTTTCTCACTTTTATTACATGTTTAATAATCGTTTTTTGTACGACGAAGGGTAAGTGTCGAGCCAATAACCTAGAAAAATATATCATGACCGTTTTAACTTGTCTCCATCTACCCCTAGCGGATTACCGCGGTCGGGCGTGTAATCCTCACTATCGCGACACGGAATTAGCGTCTGATAACTGTCCCCCACAAATTTCCGGTACCTTTGTCTCGGCTTTATTTGTTTCAGCACAGCATCGCCACCCCTTAACGCTATGAAAATATTTATTTTTACATAAACCAGACGTTTGTCGAATACCTCGAGCAATACACACGTGTCATTTCCCATTGAGAAGGCAATAAAGCTTGGGGGAAGTAGAACAGTAATAGTCGAGACACATTACGGAGAAACTACCCCTCCCGGATAGAAGACGTGCGAGGAAATGATGGTCACATTTCTCCCGAGACTCGTATTTCACGATGAAGTTTACCATCTTGTTTCGCTAACGCATTTACTAATTTCGAGCGAGGAAAAAGGAAAATGTTAGATTTTTTGGCATTGTGTTGTAGTTTTTCGGTGATCCATTTGGATTGGAGTCAGGTTCAGGATCGTTCGACACCCAGGAGAATTTACCCTAACGCGTTCGAAACTATGCCAACCTCGGCTCAAACGAATTGGATTAAACTAATCGATGTCACGGTGATGAATAAGAGTTTTACCAAAAACTGAAAGATGCAGCTATTATAATCTTAAAATTATAATAGCTGCACCAATTTTCGAAGAATAATGCCTACTAACAAAGAGCTAGGTAAATAATACTGATTTGGTAAGTAAAATATATTGTAAATGTTAGGTAAAATAAAAAAAAACAGTTGCACTGAGGATGACCACTTTACGATTGAAACGCATTGTGTTTAAAATAAAAGTTTGGTGTGTTGGGGTCAAATTGTGTTTGTGTTTATAAATGCTATTGGTAGCAGTGTTATGTATTAAAATAAGATTTGCTAAGTGTAAACAAGTGGAACCAGTTTTTATCTTTTGAGTCAACCCAGGGTAAAACCCCCATAACCAATTTATTACTTAAAATCACTCACTGAACAATCCTATCTATGAATAGCCCTCGCACAAGTATATTATTTATTATTGGTTTATACTATTGGTATTTATTATTATATTACTAAATATGTATTCACTGTTTTTATAAAAATATTTGACGTTTAAATACTGTACTGTGCATTTAATTTGCCTACCTTTTTTTGTAACTACTTACTGTTATTTTTATATAGCGTTTTAGCTATTAACATACCTAGTATGTAATGAATGTCAGTTTGAAATCCGAGCAGATAACGAGGATATTAAGACATCTAAGGCTGTTATGACATTATTACATCCGAGGTTTGTTCAAGATTTTATTGGTTTCTGTCGAATAAGCCAAAAATTGGAACAAATTAAATCCAAAAATTGGAACAAGTTAAATCCAAAAATTCTAGGATGTAATGACAGCTGCAGATGTCAGTTTGAAATCCGAGAGAGTTTACAATTTTACAATATCGATATGTCAGTAAAAATGACATATCGACATTGTAAAATTGACATTTCAATATTGTAAAATTTTACAGCAATCAATAAGGTAATGCCATAGTTATCAGACTATTTTTGTGCATGTAACATTGCTCTTAACAGACAGAAACCGATAAAGTATTTTTATCTTACAGGTTGAGTTTTTGAACTACCATTAGTATTTAATTAGTAATTTATTTAATTTAGACCATTGTTTTCGGTGATAGAAATCAAATATTATTCACAAGTGGGATAAAGTACTCACAAGTGAGTAAATTTGACTATTATATTATATTTACTATAATATTTACTATTATATTTTTATAGATGAATATTTTACTTGAATGAAACTTCATTTTTTGGATAGTTGCACGTGTAAGATAAAACGTCGTATATCACACGTGATCAAAATACCATTATGAAACTCGTGAGAAGTGTCAAAATTCCCACTCGCGTATAATGATGCATGTCTATCACTTATAATATAATGTACTATTACATAACGTTAAGTATTTTTACTTAGCGTTTGATTCAATAACTTAGTGTGTAATTAGTTCCCGAAAAAAATTATCTCATTGAAGAAACTAGAAAAATATGGCTTAGAGTTTTGCTGAAAAAAAAAGTTTTTATTTATGAAAAATGAACTAAGAGCTTTAAAAATTCAAAGGAAATATT